CGAATTTATTTGACGATTTTTGATTTATATCACGAATTTATTTGTTTTATTATTGTTATTAGTTATTCATTGAAAAATGAGTCTCAGTCGTGCTGTCACGCTTTAAGATTTTATACTATAGCACATATCTAAAAGGTTTAATGAATTACATGTTATTTATTTGAATTCAAATTTATTTTAATGACTTAGTATTTACTAAAAAGATGCAGGTTTTTTTTTTTAAAAAAAAGTTGTTATATGGATTTGAATGATTGTTTTGAATTCTTAGAATTTTGTGCATATGCAATGAATCTAAGCTAGCAGCGAGCGAAGCGAGTTGGTTTGCGAAGCAAACCATATAAGATTGCGTAGCAATTTCTGGGGTTGGTGAGCGTTAGCGAGCAGGGGGCGCAGCTCACTAGTATATTTTACAGTTGTTCCACTTAATAAATATGAACTGTTATTTAAGAAAAGACAATTAGCTATTTCTTCATACTATATATAAGAAGAAATGACAATGATCAGGAATTACCCCAGTAATCAATAATTACCCCATCTGTAGGGGGCAACATTTGATATAGTTTCCTATAATCAATAATAATGTTTACAGTAGATGTAAAAAAATGAAACAAAAGCTTGCACTTTTTTTATATCAAAGAAAAATAAAGTAACCCAAAATATTTATTATTAAGAGAACTTTATATTTATTAAAATATTTATTATTTGCAGAAATGTGCATATTTTGAAACCCATCTTTGAAATGGAAAATACAGAAAGTAGTTTAAAAGATACTTATTTTGCTAGATTAAACAAAAACTATTATTAAGTAAATGTAGTTATACTTTAGTAAAGGGTACAAACATTCTTGTCCATGTCTCAAATTTTAAAAAAATTAATTTTTTAAAAATAAAACTTAGGTGATCATTATTTACCCCAGAAACAGAGTGATCGTGAATTACCACGGGGTCACCGTATCCCTTTTTTTGGTTTGAAATTCATGTCACAATAGACATCTTTATTGGTAACCTGAAAAAGGTATCTTTCACAAAATAAAATCCAAAAATATTATCTGATTGCTCCAAAGCTAGATTTTAATCTGTTTAGAGTTGGAATATTTCATTTATCTACATTTCTATCTGGAGGAAAATTTATCCTAATATTTGAGAGAAAGATTTTGTGGAAGTACACTTGGTACACTAAATGAAAACAATAACTGGAGTAAGAGATTTAACTTTGAACTTCACAAGATTTATAAATACCCGATATTAAATACATAAAAATAAATAGAATGAGATGGACACGGTGCATAGCCAGATTTTTCAACAAAAAAAAGCACCTTTTAAGTACTTTATAAGCACTTAAAAAATATTTTTAATCACTTTCCCAAAAAATCATAATTAGGATCTGTGCAGTAATAAAAATTATTATTCTCTATCGTTCAAAGTTCTTAATTTATTAACATAAAATCAATGAAATTCAAAAACAATTTCACAAACTTTACATTATCATAATAAAATAACTAGTTTCTGATAAATATTACAAAGAAAATTGTAAAAAAATCATGCATTTATTGTAATTTATAACGACAATCGACACGGCAAAGAAATAATCTCCTTTTAAAAGATAGAAAATTAAGTACTTTTCACAAAACCCCAAATAAAAAAAAGTACCTTTTGAGGCTTTTAAAAACAAAGATAAGCCCCTTTAAGCACTTTTTAAAAACGCTACACACCCTGAATGGATGGCCCACGTGATTTGAATGAGTTATGACAATACAATAAAAAAGATATTGCTTTTCAGACCCTCTGGAACAAGAAAGTGGAGAAAGTCACGGTTGAGATTCGGTGGAGTCTGATTTTCTTGCAATTAATGAAAAGAATTGGAAATCAAAGATAAATCGGAAGTGGTAATGGAGAAATCTTCAGAGGAAGGCATAGACCCACATTGGTCTGTCTGGCCAACTATGATGATCTCTTTCAAAACTTATTGGTAGTATTAGAGTAATAATAAAATCATAGCTGCCAGCACGAAAAGGAAAAAATCCGGTAGATTTTCGAAATAATATAAAAACTGCCATATTTTCCAGTTATGATTTCACATTAAATGATTTTAAATGTTATGTATTATGTTTATTCATAATTTTGAATGGTAATAGGCATTTAATTCCTCAAATATAGTTAACTGAATTTTATAAATGAGGCTCGCTTTATTATGTACTAGCCGCTTAAGGCGGCCAGCTGTCCGCCACGCTAAACGTTTTCGCAAATAAAGATTTTTAAAACATAGCAGGAAATCTGAAGATTAGTGGACAATTAAAGTGTTCCTGTCCTGCAATTTTGTCTTCAATATTAAAATCTAAGTGCTTATCTGCTGAAACTTTCTGAAAATAACTAATTACATTTGATAAAAACTGTTAAAATAAAGAATAGAAAAACCAAAGAGATCCAAGGTAAGAGTGATCGTTAATTCAAAAACAATTAAATTCCTATTTTATATAGCTACAACGCTTAAGAAAAAANCAAATTTAGTATTTTTTTTAAGAAAAATTATTATTTTTTAATATTGCCATATTTATCCTTATGCAAAAATATTATTTATCAGTATTAAAAGCATATTTATATTTAAAGGATTAGTTATTCACTTTTGTTGTTCAATGAATTGTGGAGCTTCAAAAATTATAAACCTTTTCCTATTATATATTATATTATTTTCTTTTAATAAGTTATAGTAAATTGTATAAAAAATATCAAATATTTAATGATACATGTAATTATTATGTGCACAATGGTTACACCTATAGAATTTTTACCTTCTACCAAAGTTCAAGGTTTTGGACCACTTTAAGACAGTTTAACCCAGTTTAGGACAGTTTTACCCAGTTTAAGACAGTAAAACCCACGTGTCCTGTCCAAAACCCCAACCCTGCTTTAAATGTTATGTATTATGTTTATTCATAATTTTGAATGGTAATAGGCATTTAATTCCTCAAATATAGTTAACAGAATTTTATAAATGAGGCTCGCTTTATTATGTATTAGTGACACTAATTTAAACACTCAAGTAAGCAATAATCTGTACTAATAGGGATCTCAATAGGGATCTTTTAAGGAAACTTACTCAAATTTAGGGAGTTTTCTAAAAATGAACAAAAACCAGGAGAAACTGGCAAAATCCAGTAGAGTTGGCAGTTATATATATTTTTTAAAAAAAAACTCACTTCTTTATTTTGAAGAGCAGTTTGCCACCTCCACCTTCTATAGAAAGCATCGGTATAAGAACTGTTTGTCAAAATACAATGAAGAGCTTTTCTCAAGGTTAGCAATCGGTCATGAAAACCCCACATACCTAAAATAAGTACAAAGAGTATTGGTTTTGATGCAAGAACAAAGACGGTATATTATGAAATTCAGTTTTAATGTTTTTTCAATAAAACCAATTTCTTATTTTTGTATCTCTAAAAATATACATTAATTTAAAAAATTGATTAACACACTGATAACCCTTAGATATAACCCAGAAAGCATGTAACCTTACAACAACCTTGTGCCTGAATTTTCTTTATATTGTCACAAAAATGTTTGTACTAAAAACCTTTTTTCAATAGAGCAAGATATTGCAGTTTCAAACATTTCATCCTAAAAGGATAAAAAGTTATTTTTCAAAGATTTTTTTAAAAAGTATTGTCACTTAGAATAAAATGTTCACTTAGGTCCATAACGACATTTAAGCTGATGTCATTAGGATCGAATTGCATTGTGCATTAAAATTTCATGACAAGGTGGGTTTTAGTTAAACATTCAAGACTTTGGGAAAAGAAACTTGTAATTACCTAGATTTAAGATTATTTTCACCTAGAAACTAGCTTTATCAAAGGATTAATGGATTTAACATCGATTTAAGGTTTTTATATAGAAGGTTGTTTTCCAAGGTTTTGGATTAGGGTAATGTGCGTAGAATAGAGCAGATTGTCACAGATCTCATTTTAAGGTTAGAAGGTTTACATATAAGCAGTTTCACAAACCTTTTAAGGTGTGGGGAGTGAGTAGCTATCGATAACATGTCTTATATACTAGTGAATTAGAATTATATTTTTGTAGTGTTAGATACACTGCAAAGGTTTGCACTAAAAGATTTTTACTGTGTGAAAATAAGCCTTATTTTGTTATTGGGATTAATCTTGTCTTTTGATAAAAACTTTACAAGATAGATTTAAGACAAAAATTCATAATTTTTAAGCATAATTTTTAAGGTGTTCATAAAAAAAAAAACGTTTTTTGGAATAGGATTTCTAAATCTGGACTAGAAACTAAATGATGGATCCGGAAAAAAAAAAAAAACTTTCACTCAACAAAACTTTCAAAACTTCAAACAAAACATTCACGATATAAAATAGTAATCAGTGGTTTTTCCAGATCAGCATTTAATGAGGATGGATGTTGAGCTACTTTGATTTTTTAATTTTTGGTTTGCATTATTGTCACAAAATAGTTTCATTATAATTGTAACATTACGTAATTTCTGTATTTTACTTTTCCATTTATATATAACCACTTAATTAACTTTTTCTTTTAAATAAAAAAGTCATGTGTGGGGAGTATTGTTATCTACAATGTCAACCTTCATCTATGAAAAGGTACCCCAACATAGAATCGTGTTAACATGTCTTAGATACTAGTGAATTGGAATTGTATTTTTGTAGTGGTAGATACACTATACATGTAAACTAACCAGTAAAAAAGTGTGTTAAATAGTAATATCTTTTAATTACTGGTACCACTGATTAAAATTTTCTTAATTTCCACCTCTGTGAGATCTCAGATTTGAATAAGAATCCCAATGGACTGCTTCTTGTTTTATCCAAGCAATGTTCGTGATAATTTAAAAAAAATACTTCTTCAGCTTTAATGTGCCACAACTGGGTTTCTAAGCTAAACATTGCATCGTAAAATATTACATGATATGTGGCACTGCACCCTGCATAAATATGCAATCTCCGTGTGAATGTCAGAATTAGTCTATGCTTTAATATTGGGTAACAACTGTATTCATCAAAAAGGGCCACAAAGCTAAAATTATAAATGAAGATTTACATTAAGGAACATTTTTGAAACTCGGTAAGTGGCCTTTTTTGGACTTAGAGAAAAATCAGGTTTAGATTCTATAGAAACTTAAAAAAATCTGTAAAAAAAAAAGAAAGAAAAAAAAAGAAAAACTACCAAAAATCTGCCTAATTATAAGACTTTACCGAACATAATTCATACTTAAAGCAAATTGTAACACAAGCTGTAAGTACAGTAAACGTCCATTGTAATGAGAATTCAGAATAGCAAATGGAATCTTTATTATAGAGAGTTTGTCACACATGTCTAATGTTGAGTTATCAGAATAAAAAACTAAAAAATGATATGAAGTACAATAGCTTTTGACACTATTGTTGGCTCTGAATGCTGATTTCAATAGTAAATTAGTATAATTTAGTAATTATAATTAGTAATTAATTATAATTAACTATAATTAGTAAATTAGTTAATTATAATTAGTAAATTAGTATAATAAGGAGTATAATTTTGGAAACAAACAATTGGTATACAAAAAAATTGCAAAAATTTTCTTTTGGGAAGACGAAAACAAGTTGATTAATGATTGACTACATATTTGCTTTGTTTCAGATGCGTAATCAAGTTTGTGTTCTTTGGATAAAAAGAAAGGATAAAAATGTCTGTTTTTAACTTTTTTGAATTCAGGCTAACTGTAGGAAATTTTCCTTTCCATGTAACGCAAATGCGTGTTAGTTCCATCAAAAAGTCGACACCAGAAATAAATAAAACTGTTTAACCCCTTACATAGATGCCAACATGGACAGGAAAAAATCCAGTAATTTTAAGAAATAATATTAATTTCATGATAATTGTTGCATAATGTACTAAATATTTTACACACAGGGAATTCTAGGGATTTTTATAGCCATCAAAATAGAAAACCTGAAAGATTTTCCACTTATGATTGACATTAAACATACTTGAAATATTACGTATACTCATAATCGGCATTTTGAATATTAATAGGTATTTACTACATCAAAGAAAGGTAAAAGATTTTTTTTTTATTAATTTAAAAAGAGAATCCTGAATAAAAATAAACTGAACATTTTAAAACAAAAAAAGTTTTGAACCGATTTCTATAAATAAAGTTCGTTTCATTATGTATTAGTGATACATATTTAAATAGTCAAGCAACCAAGCAATAATCTGTACAAAAATTCTATTTCAATAGGTATTTTTTTTAAGTAATCTAACTCAATTTTAGGGAATTTTCAAAAATGTATAGAAACCAGGACAATTTTAATTAAACCAATAGACCAGGTGAAACTGGCAAAATCCAGAAGTCTACTGGAAAATCCAGTAGAGTTGGCAGCTATATTTTACTGTAAAGCAATTTGTGTTTTTGATATGCTTTACTGTATTCAAAACATCAGTTAAACATATTCAAAGGTCTTACCTAGCGAAGCTGCATGTAAAAGGCAATTACCATCACCCGTAGTGGACAAGGGCCAAAGCTTCCGGCCAATATTCCTGGTATACCACCAATTAAGTCTTCCTAGAAATTAAGTATATTTAATTAATTTCACAATAACTGTTACACAAACAATAATTGCATTGGGTGAAACAAAAAAAACAAAACAAAATGTCAAGAAATGTCAATGTCTTGAAACAAAATGTCAAAGAGACAAAAAAATTGATCACTAGGTTACATGACTAAATGACAGGGTTCATGATTTGTTTGACTTAAATCGGATTTTTTAAAAATTTTATTCAAATACACTGTGAGAACTTTAATTTACGATTAAAAAAACTTTATAAATGTTTAATCAAAAGTAAATTAATATTAAAACTACTGTATAAGAATATTTTAGAAGCTCTAACTACCAAAAACAATTTTTTATTATAATACATGGCTTTGAATGCCTAGCAACCATTGAAATAAATGCATGATTGAAATTTAAAGACTAGATGAAATAGATAATTTAAATCCTATTTTTGGCATATTAGGGTAATTTCTTCGTAATTTTAGGAATATACATTATTCACCAATAAAATAAAACGTACATTTTAATTCCATGCTTTTTCAATCAAAAGGTAGAATCTTAATTAACATCATGCATATTTTTTTGGGAAAAAAAATTCATGTTTAAGAATTCATGTTAATTTCAAATGAGAGATATTCCATAATTTTGATGTACCGTACCCCCTTCCCGACAGTTCAATCCTGGCGACATATAACGTCGTTGCCGAGTTGAAGGATTAAAACAGGTTTTAGGCCGGGAAGGAGGGTACAAAATTTATTTATTATTAGTCAGAGCAGTCATGAGAGTGCGTAAGAGTGTGAACACGAAAAGTTGTGCTCCTTGGAGGTGGATAATGTCACAGTCAACTTTTCAATGTGGACCATCCACCGAAGCAAGAGTATTCAAATCAAAGTGGGAGTTTCTGGCAAAGTAGGTGTGTTAACATCACGTTCGAAGGTCACCAATGTGGGGGTAAGTAGATATCGTAAGTAAGTAGATCATCTATGAAAAGGTACCCCAACATAGAATCTAATTAACATGTCTTATATACTAGTGAATTGGAATTGTATTTTTATAGCGGTAGACACACTACAAGGTACACTTATGTTTTCTAATAAACAATCACAAATGTTATAATTTTAAAAGTAGTAATTGGCAAAGCTAAAATGTTGATGACAGTTGTCATTAGCCATTGTTATTAGCCATTAGTTGTTTTGTCACTTTTTTGTCATTTTAGATTCTTTCTTTCGTTATTTTTTATTAGAAAATTGTTCAGGAGCATTTTGCTAGTTAATTACATTTTTCTGATTTTCACTTTTTAAAGGATCATAATTTCGTGAAACTTAGCATTATAATTTCAATTCGTTCTTCTTCTTTTCATCGATCTTTTATCGCTTTATGGTATAACATGGGTCAAACTAATCGCTTTATTGTATTACATGCGTCCAACTTTACTTTGTACTATCATACCAATGCAATGAGTTTAAATTATATCATGAAGTCATTTGTTAGTTATAGCCTTCAAATAGAAATTTTATTTCATTTATATTTTATTTTAATGATTATTAAATCTTTTAATTACCAAACATTACTCTGATGTACCCCCTTTGGCAGAATGTTTTCGTGTTTTCTGAAACTAGCATTAATATCTTTCAGCAAGATATTTTCAATCATAACGAAGATGCATGTTACTAATTTAAGGTAACAAAAAGGCTGTGTTTACAAAAATAAAAAAAACAATATAATTTTTTTAACTGAAGATGCAATATTTTTTTGATTCTAATATTATAGGCAATATTTTAGCATTTTGTTGTGGGGGGAACGTACTAATTATTTCCTTTATCACATTTTGCAAACCATCATCACAGTAAACAAATAATTAAATATCATGAAATCTGCAGCAGTAATTACTAAGAAACAGATCGATGACAAAATCGCTCATCAGACTCTTCAGGGGTTACTCAAATGCATGTTTCATTTCAAGATTTGATTGTTGTAATAAATAATATCGGAAAAAATATATGGTTTTAAAAAAAAAAACTATGTAGAAATCAAAAGCAATAACTGTGAAAAAAAATCGACAGAATCATTGTTTTAAATGATTATATGCGCAATTGGAACTTCACATATCATCTGAAATATATCAGGATATCTAAAACCACGTGAAAATCAATGTTGATAACTGCTGAAAATACAATCAAAATGTATTTACAATATCCGATTCAAATAAGTGCTTCAAAAAGTGATTATTTAAATGGCCGATTCAAATTTTAAGCGTTAATTTCTGCAGAAAAGCAAACCAAATTTTTTTACTTCCAAGAAGAAAAATCTTTCAGCCCGAACTCAGTAAATTTCAGCAAAAATGTTGCCATGTCACCGCAATTCTGCCACGATGTACCAATAAATTAATGCATGCTAAATCACATGATCAACATGAAAAAGTCAACATTCCTTTTAATTTAATAAATAAACATACCAGCTTGTTCCAAAGACACTAGAGTTGCAGTCTCAATCAAATCTCTGTGTAGGTACTGCCTTAAATTTTCAGAATAAACTGAGAAATCAGGTAAAGAAAAGGAATATTCAGGAATTTCTAGTTGTGAGGAAGGAGGTTTTATATCCCCGTCCACAGAATCAAAGTCTTCAGCAAACGCTTTTCTCGCTTGATTGATAAGACCAAAATTCTCTGTTGCACGTGATATTCCTCTCGTGAGTTTCTTTTCTAGAAAGGGAAAAAACAGATTTTCATTTTAAGATATTAAAGCTCTAAAAAAAGTTTTTGAAAACGTTATATCAAATAAGTTAAAAGAGGGGCAATTGATTTTTTTTAACTTAATTTGAATTATTTTTATTTATATATCATTTATTAAAAATTTTTTTACAACAACCAATCTAAGTTTAGATAAAGTGCATAGTTGCCAACATGGATAGAAAAAAATAAAATCTGGTAGATTTTACGAAATAATATAAATTTCATGATAATTGTTGCATAATGTATATGCACTTAGGGAATTTTAGGGATTTTTATAGTCATTAAAATAGAAAAACTACAATATTTTCCAGTTATGATAGATATTAAACATACTTGAAATGTTATGTATTATGTTTACCCCTAATTTTGTTTACCATTAATTCAAAGATAGTTAAACATTTTATTTCAATAGGGATTCGCTTAGGAAACTTACTCAATTTTAGGGAATTTCTAAAATGTATAAAAACCAGGAGAATTTTAACTAAACCAGTAGACAAGGAGAAACTGGCAAAATCAAGTAGAGTAAGAAGCTATGAAAATGTAATAATGCTTAATATTATTAAAACACAATATAATTAAAAAACGTTTATTTAACATTTCTAACTAAAAGGTTTAAGTATAAGATTATCATTTAATTATTATAAACCAATAATTGAATAAATAAAGATGAGAGAATAATTATATATATAAAAACTAAACTCAGTGGCGAGATAGCCCGTAGAGGGCCAATGCCTACTGTGCCCATCTCAGTTTTCTTAACCTTAGGCTCTGGGGTGCAGAAGCAGATGTTCCAGTCAGGTGGTCAGTCGAACGCGGAACCCCCAGTGTTTAGTTCCCAAGCAAGCTTGGTACACATTTATCGAAGGGATGAAAGGCTGAAATTATATATATATATATAGATAGAGGTGGCTAAAAGTGTGGACACTTTTTGAAAGTTTCATGCTTTTCAACTTTGTGTGCTTGTAGAATATATTAATTTTCCCTTAAATACAAACGTTTATGTAGTCCGTGGATCGAGATTCAGACAGAAAAGTAAAAGTTTATTAACGAAAAGCAAACAAACACATACAAATTTAAAAAGAACGCCATCTGGCGGTATAAAAAGAAAAAGACTTCATAGCTATCCTTCCCTGGGAATGACAACAGTTTATATATCAAATTGAATGTAGAATTTAATAACCAAAACAGAATTAAAATATCTGTATCACAAAAAAAGTTATACTCATTTTAGTAGAACAAACGAACACAAATCGTTTTGAATAAGGATGTGTTTTGTAATAAAAGCGTACTAGCCAATCACAAACACTGTTCTTAGGACCAATCAAATGTCTGTAACTATAGTTTAGGCTATTTGGATGGTAAAAGAGTTATTGTTGTGGAAATATTTTGAGGAATGATGCATACTGGTACAATTAAAGAGTATTGCTGTTTTTGAATATTTAAAGACCCTTTTTTTAATTAAACTAATTTTAAACAATGTCATCAACAAGAACTAATTGAACATCTACAAAAAGAAGTCGAATTGTCATATTGAGAGAAAATGGCCTCTTTCATGCTGAAATTGCAAGACAAGTTGGTGGTTCAGTGACTTGTTCTGGTGTACGAAAGTTCTGTTTACGTTATGAAAAAAATGAAATCAGTGGAAAATAAAGCCAAATCAGGCCGAAAAAAATGTAAAAGGGCTATTGCTGATAGAAAAATTAAACGGCTATGCCTTCAAGATAGAAGAATTTCATCAGATGCCATTAGATGTGAAATGAATGCAGCGGGTATTGCAGCAAGTTCAAGAACAATAAGAAGAAGGTTATCAGGATTTGGACTACAAGCTAGAATTCCAAGGAAAAAAACATATTTAAATCAAAAGCAAAGCGAAAAACGAGTTAAGTGGGCAAAAGAACACAATAAATGGTCAGAAAATCAAAGGAAGCAAGTAATCTGGAGTGATGAGAGTAAAATATCGCTCTTTGGTAGTGATGGTAGAAAATACGTGAGACGTAGAGTAGGTGAAGCGCTTCATCCTGATTGCATTGAAGCAACTACAAAAAACCCAACAAATGTCATGATTTGGGCATGTATGTCTGCAGATGGTGTGGGCCAAGTTCAAGTGATTGATGGCATCCTGAATGCCAAAAAATACATCGAAACTGTCCTGAAACCAAAATTGATACCTTCCATCAGGGATCTCTTCCCCAACAACGCACCATTTATTTTTCAGCAGGATTCAGCCCAATGCCACACAGCAAAAGTATGCAAAGCATGGTTTCAAAATAAAGGCATAGACATATTACCATGGCCAGGAAACAGCCCTGATCTCAATCCAATTGAAAATTCGTGGCGACGTTTGAAAATTCTTGTACGAAAAAAACGTCCATCCAATAAAAGACAACTTATTGAAGCTATAATTGATTCTTGGCACCATGTGATAATGAAAGATGAACTCAAAACACTCATTCGCTCGATGAAAAGACGCTGTGAAGCTGTCTTAAAAAATAAGGGCTATCCTACAAAGTATTGATTGTGTAAGTATCACTTTAAAAAAATGCAAATCTAAGATAGATCTTACTATTAGTTGCATAACTTTTTTTTGCAATACAGATATTGTTATACTGTATTTATTATTAAATTCTACATTAAATTACCTTCAATTTGATATATAAACGTTTGTATTTAAGTGAAAATTAATATATTTTACAAGCACACAAAGTTGAAAAACATGAAACTTTCAAAAAATGTCTACACTTTTGGCCATCACTGTAAATAAATATATATATATATATAATCAGGAGAAGATTTTTAATGTTCTCAGGCTACAAAGTTGTTTGGACCTGGTGTAGGCCTTCCTACAACAGGGGGATGAGTAACAACACACACACACACACACACACATATATATATATATATAAACAAAACAATGAAGGGCTTTGTTTGCATAAATGTAGATGACAGTAAAGGCCAGCATGGAGTCAGAAAGATTGGCTAACAACAAAGAGTGCAACATGCGTTTGTTCATTTGTAATAGCAAATTTGAAATAAATTTGTTCACTTGTAATAGCAAACTCCAAATTAATAAATTCAGATAGTTACAAGTGTGAGAGTTTCAGTTCATGGCCATTTTTTTTAGAGTAGGTAAAATTTTAAAAGAAACTCCTGCCTTTCCACAAAAAAAATCTTTAATATCAAATAAGTTTCAGGTAATAAAACCTAAATGAATTACTTTCCATAAATCAGTCTGAATTGCAAAAATATTTTATCCCTTAATAAGGCCATGGTAAGCATACTTACCACTAATTTCATTCATTTTTAAAAATCGAAGCGAAGATATTTCTTTATCCATAATTTGAGCAGTCATCTGCTGATAACTTCAGAAAATATAAGAAAATAATACCAATAATTGAATGCTTTGCTTACATAAATGTAGGTAACAGTATAGGTTAGCGTCGCATCAAGAAGTCAAACCAAGATTGGGGAGCTATTTTCTTTTATGTGTTATGCTTTCCTTTATTTGATCATTTTTTTACGAGTTTATTTATAGTTATAAACGCAAAATTTATAAATTTGGTCATTATTCAGGGTGCATAGTCAAATCTTTCAACAAAAAATAAGTACCTTTTAACTAATTTTTAAGCATTCAAAAAATATTTTTAAGTATTATATACATTAACAAAATACAAATTAATTTTCAAAGACTTCAGATGATCATGATAAAATAACTAGTTTCTGACAAAGAACTCTTTTTCTTAATTATTTTAGCCATTATAGAATGAGCAAGAGATTTTTTGGTTCGATTTCAGAGGACGGAAAATGAAGCTTAAAATTGAGAATATTTTGCAAAATGCAGCAGAGTTACACATGAGAGTGCAATAATCTCACCGAACCCAGCTCAGTAGATGCACATGCAGACTCTTAAGTATTTCATCAAACATATCAAATGATTGGTGCTTTCAGATGCAAACGAGGATTGTGGTTGAATGAATTGCGAAAATGTTGAATAGAACAATCTGAAAAGCACGCTTTTATATAATACACGGAGAAAATTGACATTCCCATTTCGAAAATCTCATTTTCGAAAAGGGAAAATTAAGCACTTTTTAAAAACACCCCCATGAAAAAAGCACCTTTAAGGGCTTTTAAAAAATTAAAATCAAAAATAAGCACCTTTAAGTACTTTTTAAAAAAGCCTAGCATTAAATGCTAGCATAAAAATGCTAGTACTTTATAAAAATGCAAGTTTATAGGCTTACTTGAATAAAATTACTTATTTTTTTTACTTACTTTATAGTAGATAAAATTTTAAAAATTTTAACCATCTACTAGAAAAAATGATCCAATAAAGGGTTAATGTAACATGACTAGGGAAAAAAATTGCTCCATAAATAGTTCAATAATGTTAAAAAAGAATAGAATAATGACAATTACCACCATCTTCTAAATCAACTGCTGCAACTTTCTTTAAAGGAGGCTTCTTCATTTTACTGTCATCAGAATGTGTTGAGTTATGGGATGAGATTTCATGATGATCAGATGATGGGACTTCACCTGGCAACAGACCTTTCATCACATAATATGCTGATAAAGCAGAATGAATGTTCCAATCATGAGCTATATTCAAAAAAAAAGGAAAAATTGCTACATTATAGTACATATCTACTACATTATACTACATATTTACTACATTTTAGATTTTCAAATCCATGACTTTTCATGACTGATTCCAAGAATTTTTCATAAATTAACATAGTTACTATTTAGGGGTCTGTTTAGAAGAAATTTGGGTCCGTTAACGGACCCTTTACAAAATATTTTAACTTTAAAATGGACCCTTCACAAAATAATTTATCCTTTAATCGGACCCTTCACAAAATAATTTATCCTTTAATCGGACCCTTCACAAATTTGTTGATCTTCATTATTGTTTTGTTAATCGAATAAACCATTCCCATGGGGGGGGGAAGAAAGACAGATGTAAACGAACTAAGTTTTGTCTTCCGCAGAAGCTTCTTCCTTTATTCGTTCGAAATTAATATTCTGCGTTCAGCAGTATAGGCTAAATACCAAACATTTGTATGTCGCATCTCTGATTTAGTAGCAACAATTGCTGTTTATTTTTGAAAATTTAATTTTTTTTCAATTATAATTTTACAGTGTTGNCAAATTCACAAAAGCAGGATCCTGGTTGAAAGAATGTGACTTAACGTTTATTTTATATTCACAAATTACGAGTAATTTTTTCACAATTTTACAATAACAGGATCTTCCACAAAATGTCAGGACAGACCCTTGCTATTTTCTCCAACAAAAACGCAACACTAAATTAAAAAAAGCATTATAACATCAATGGAAATCATAGATATAACCAAAACTGTTATACTCTGCATCTTCATATTTATAAGATTTTAAATTTAAAAAAAANCTCTGGCAAAAAAAAAAAAAAAAGAATAAAGAAAGAGTTGAAGCAATAAAATAGCTGAAAAATATAAAAAAAGCAAATAATTTTTTCCCCTTTTTTTCTCCAGAATTATATTCTAAAGATACTTTTCCTGTTCATCGGAAAGGAAAGAAATACTTTTGATTTTAGTGTTCTCATTCCAGAATAAAAAAAATATTCGCCGATGACTAGCTTAGTATCAGCTATAATTTTAATTTGATAAAATAAAAAAAAAAATAAATAATAATAAAAATTCTGAAATCACAGAAGTTTAAAAGATAATTCACTCTAGAAAGGATGTTTTTTCTTTAATTTCTTGAAAGAACACCACAATTTTTAAGGAACACGATAAAAACATTTTATATTTTAATAAAATATGACTGTTAGTGGGGATTTTGATAAAAATTCAGATATTCAGAACACCATGAAATTGGGGAGGGGGGATTCCATTTTAAAAATTAGACATTTTGGCGACCTAAATCAGTGACTTTTCATTATTAAAAAAAAAAATAGTAAAAATCATTACATTTCATGACAATAAAAATCTATAACATTAGAAACTGGCGACCGTAATTTCTTATAAAAATAATGCCTGGAGTGACCATACCTTCCAAAAGATCAGTAGCAAGACCAGGGTCAGCAGAAGTGTGGGCAACAAATTCAGATAAAATAACATCCATAGCACATGGAATTTCTAAAAAAAAAAAGAAGATAGTTTTCATATTTTAATATCAAAGTAATTAAATTTATACTAATATCTTTCAATATTAAAATAATAAAAACTTTATAAAATTAGCTATGAGACATTCAAATGTTCTATTTGTAACACTACTGGACACACAAAGAAAGAAAATCAAATCTAAAGTAAACTATATTTTATAATCTAGGTGGATTTCGGAAACGAACTGAATTTAAATAAGTTGAACATCAAGTTACAAACAAAATAACAATCAATGATTAAATCTAATTTACCTTTTAAAGAAATAAATTATTTATTGAAAAATTTGAACAGTATTTTGTAAGGAAAATAACTAATAAAATGTTCACAAAAAGAATCATGATATATAGACAGCAGAAAAAATTATTCATTTTAAATTTTTTATGAACATAAAAAATACTCAGACATTATTTTAATCTTCTGAAAATGTTAAATTGTCTAAAGTTTTCCGATGAAGTTGTTGATACAATTTAATTATTTATGCAAAGAAGTTATCAAACAATTATTTTAAGCATATTTTTAAAAAAATTGACCAAACTGTGGATCTAAAAACAAAAACGAGATATTTTAATCTTCTATAATTTTTTGAAGAGTGAAATTTAAAATAAAAGAGCGAACTTTAAACAAAGTTCACTTTATAACTATTTTGAGTTGCAAAACCTCTTTCAGGGCACATAAAAGTCATCACCTTTTCTACATTTAACGATATATTTACAGAAATGTCTTTATATCAAATAGAGTAAGCTGCTGACTATAGTTTGTCTACTGTAAGAACTCCCTCACCGCAAAGTCTGAGGTCGTCTGCTGCCATGTTAACAAGAATAGCAAATTTCAAGAAGGGCAGCTTCTCTTCATTCCAGGGCTAACACAATAGACCGAAGAAAAAGATTACCTTTCTCTCACCAAAACCTGTCCTAAACAATAACCCCACATCCCTACTTGAAATAGTTATACCTCATTATCATAGTACTCCCTCCCCTACAGTCTAGATGAATGGCTAGGGGAGTTCTTACTTAAGACAAAGTATATATGGTCTAATGTGGTTGAAGGGTAGACTAAATAACCAAATAGTCCTAATAAGAAAAGTTTTCATTTCATAACCTACCTGGAATGCAATTAAAAATACATGTTATATTTTAAAATAAATGATTAAAAAAAAGTGATTAATGCAATACCAGCAGGATTGTGCTTTCACCAGAAGATGGTAAAAATTGGGTTTTTACCCTGGTAAAAACCATTGGGAAAAACCTGGTAAATACTACTGACCTGTGTCTATTTACTTATACATACAATGATTTATTTTTTATATATGTTTGGAGTATTTTCCATATAATAGTAAATATTAATAATTATAATATAATATATAGACACTACCCTACAATAATTGAAGAGACACTTTGAGTTTTTGACATTTTTCTTAAATTTCTCCCGAAATACCTAAAGGATTAATTTATAACTTTAGAGATGTTTGTTCATGCAATTTTTCATACTTAGCAATGAGATTTAAAGCTTTTAAAGTTTGGGAAAGCGACAATAAATTATGAAATAAAACAAGTACTTTTGAGCATCCTACACCAGAAAATCAAGCGATAAGTTTGCAACTTGTAATGATTACTTTAGTCATTAATTGAAATAACTGCATAAAATTTTGTATACCTAGAGTAAATATTTATAGAAATATGGCCATTTAAAAAAAAAAAAAATTTTTTTTTTTGCCTCACTATAAATTTTTCTTTTGCTATAACTGTATAAATATTCAATGGAATCAACAATATTTTTGGGGCAATTTAAAATTATACAAAAAATTATTTATCGAAATTTTTTTAAAAAGTTCTTTAAAAACTGCACTAGACGTGAGTATTTAAGGTAGTTCTTTTATACAGCGCACACACAGAAAAAAATAATTTTTTTTTCTTTGTTAGTATTTGGCAACTAATGAAAAAGTTTTATTTCAATATTTTAAAAAATTAAAAAGTTTCAAGTAATTTTCTATGTAGTTTTTGTACTTTTTAAAAGAAAGCTCAAAACATTTTGTTTCAGAAAACAAAATTTAATAAAGAATGATAATACCTCCAGAAATGTGATGGTATAAGAAAAGAAAACACACAGGGGATGATCCTTCACAATGCGAGTCTCATTCTCTTGTTTAATAGCACAACATGAAATTTCAGGTATGATTGTTTTGAGCTTTCTTTCCAAAAGTACTTTGCTTGAAACTTTTTAAATTCTTAAGATATCAAACTTTTTTCATTAGTTGCCTAATACCGCTCAAAAGAAATACCTTAAATACTTACATCTTGTACAGTTTTAAGAGACTTTTTTAAAATTTTAAATAAATAATTTTGTATTTAATTTTAAATTGCACCAAAAATATTGTTTGATTCTATTGAATATTTATAAAGTTATGGTAAAAAAATGCAAGGCAAAAAAAGTAGTTTTTGGTAAAAATTTTTATATCTCCATAAATATTTACTCTAGGTTTACAAAATTTTATGCAGCTATTAAAAATAACAACTAAAGTAATCAATACGAGTTATAAGCTTATTGCTTGATTTTCTGGCATAGGGTGTTCAAAAATACTTGTTTTCTTTTGTAATTTATTGTCTGTCTCCCAAACCTCTGTATAATTTAAAACTTACTGTTAAGCATTAAAAATCTCATAAACTATAAACATCTTTAAAGTTATAAAATAATCTTTTAAGTATTTCTCAAGAATTTTTAAAAAAATGTTAAAAACTCAAAATGTCTCTTCCATTATTGAAGGGTAGTATACATTTATATCAGCAAGTAACAAACCGTTGGACAATTGATATGATGTAAGCTATCACCTAAATTGGAATTATAAAACTAACATGACAAGGTGAGGCGAATCTTAATATTTAAAACTTAGAAAACTGATATATCTATTAGATTTTCAATATGAGTCAACAACAATTAATAGAAAATTAAAATCATATTTAAAAATTACATTATTGTACTATATCATTGTATATCATGATTTTATTACAGCTATTTCTATATACAAAAAATAACTGACTAATCAGAAAGCTCAAAAAAAAAATTAAATAATTTTAATTATAATTTTTTTTACAAACAAATAATTGGAACATTAAAAAAATATACAGTAGAGAGATAAAGGAATGGTAAAATAAGGGTTTCTCTTACCAATCGTCTTTTGTCATTTATTTTTATGAAATTAGAATAGGAAAAAAAAAATTACTTTGCTTATTTCATTTTGTATGTACATTTTTAAGATCAAAATTTTCCAATCATTGGTTCAAATTAATTGAAAGTATAAAAAAATAATTTTTCATGTAAAAAGTTCTCAAAAGACAGAAGAACAACAAAAATTAATATCAATGATGTATACATTAGAAATTAAGCTAAAAATGTTATGTCATGAGACCAGACCACTGACAATATGAAAATATGCAAATATTTCACTTTGGCCAAAAGTTAGGTTAATTTATAAATCAACATATGATAAACATTAAAGAAAATATCTATGGCAGAAACAGGTCTTGTAGTGGTCCAAATAGAATATTAGGATAAAATAATACAAAAAAATAAGACTCGATAAAACCTCATAATAACCTTGTTAAGGTGTTTTTCTCGTATGTCGAAAAAATCATATAAAGAGAATCAATTATTAAAATGAAAAAAAAATATTTAAATTTAAGTGACAATGATTATTTTTCGTTCAAATAAAATTAAACACATTTTAATTGTAGTTTTCCTTTAATCAAAAATTTTAATTTACTAATATTTCATTAGTTTCCCCAGCATTCTATGGAAAAAGATGATCTTAAAACTCGCCTTGTTATAGGGGGGCTTCGCTGTAATAGTATAATACCTCGTTAAAATATTTTTTTTTTGTATTTTGAAGATGAAAAAAGCATATCCGGTGATTCAATTATTAAAATGAAAACTTATTACAATTTAAATGATAAATATTATTTCTTGTTCAAATTTTTCAAACAAATTACTTTTTTCTATTAAATAAAAATTTGAGTTTAACTAATATTTCAGTTGGTTGACTGAGCATTCTATAAAATAAAGAATATATTCTACAGGCATCTTATAAAATACAGGGTACCTGCTACAATTTAGATTTTATAAGCCATGATTTCTTAGGACTAATTCCAAGAATTATTCATGACTTAACGAAGTTACTATTTTCTCTGACAAAAACACAACAATAAATTTAAAAAAGCATCATAATAACATTAATTGAAATAATAGGTATAACTAAAACTGTTATGTTCTGCATCTTCATATTTATAATTTTAAAATTTAAAAAACAGAGTCAAGAAAGAGTTGAAGCAATAAAATAGCTGAAAAAAAATATGAAAGCAAATAATTTTTTTCCCCTTTCCATTCTGTAGAATTATATTAAGTTACCTTTCTTGTTCATCGGAAAGGAAAGAAATACTCCTAATTTTTCTGTTCTCAGTTCGGAATAAAAAAAAACTTGTTAATGACTGTCTTGCTTCAGTAGAATTTTAAATTGATAAAATAAGAAAAAAATAAAAAAAATTCTGAAATCACAGAAGTTTAAAAGATAATTTGGTCTAGAAATTTTGTTGAATGACATTTCATGACAAATTTTGTTCAATATTGAAATCCATGATTTACCAGGTGCGCAGATACCCTGTAAATAACTATGCAAAATATATAATAGCTCTCATAAGCCAGGTATTTAAAAGAATATTGGCAAATTTACCTGAGAAAAATCAGAATTGTGGATAAAATCAAAAGAAGAAAGATTCAAAAGCACTTTCGTGGGAAGACAAATATTACAAACAATAGGTGAAGCAAAAGATCATCTTTCATAAGAATCTGTAAAGAAAAAACATTAATAATAACAAAGAATAAGCAGAAATCTTACATAATATTAAGTATTATGCAAAATAAATTAGAAATAATAGGGAGAAATGGTGAACATCTTGAATGACTTTTTTATTTACTGGTCAAATTTCATCTATGACTGTAGTAGATTCGTAACATCCATGTACAGTGCACAATAAAAAGGACCACGCTAAATAACTTTTGATCTAATGATGGGATCTTCACTTTCTAGAACTCAATCTTAATGGCTCGAGGGGATGACCTCAAATTGCTAATTAATATGTTGCAAACAATATTTTAAGTTATGAAATCAGACACAAAAACTCACTTTTTCTGTATAAACATACCCTTTTTTTTCCGACAGATTCAGATTTCTGACCCCCAAAATATAGGGGATATGTCAAATAAAGTTAAAAAATCAGGTTTTTGGGTACTTGCATTCCAAGAAGAAGAAGAAGACAACCAATACCCACACATGTGACCTATGATGTCAGCACCAGCCAATCTTAATCAGCTATATGGAGTATTAACTTTCAATGGAAGAAATATGAACTGGTTACAACTATAACACAATTGATGTTATATATTCTCTAAATCAGAATGATTTTGTAGGATTACATAGCTTAACAATTAGTGGTTTCATTATTAAGTTAAGTATTTATAATGAAACCATTATAAAGAAAATATAAGGCAGGTGTTTTATCAAAATTGTTAAAAGAATTTAATTATATATATGAACTAATTTTTGCCGTACATTTAACTAAAGCAGAATATTGGCAAATAACACTGTCGTTCTTAGCAAGTTGTTTTCATTGTCAAGTGAATGAAATACGGCTAAACCACACAGTCAGTATGCTTGTTTATTCATACTGTTTTATCATCGTGTTAAAACTATGGTTATTAAAATTTATTCAATGTAAAATTGATTCAATGCTATAAAATAGAATATTGATTTTCAAATCTGTCGATTTGAGTTTCAAATTTCTTTCTTAGTCTAGTGAAATGCATATTAGTATTTAAAATTTCTATGTATGAATATTTATTTTCCAATAAGGCTTAGATTAAAAATGATTTCAATTTGGTTTTAGACATGATTTTGTTGAAAATAAATTACTACTTAATAAGTTACCATGTTTGTCCACACTAATGCCATAGCCTGTTCACACTGGCTTCCTGTAATGTGCAAATCAGGACAAAAACAAGCTTTTTTTTTAAAAAAAAAATTGTGAAAAAACTAAATCACTTTGTTGTTTCAGATTTTTAAAATAGAATGTAGTTTTCAAAGTATTGTTTAAAAAAAATCAAGAGTTAAAAATTATACTAAACTGTCCACACTAACTGTTATCTTCCCCATGGGAAACATTGAAAATTAAAAAAAAAAAAAAANAAAAAAAAAAAAAAAAAAAAAAAAAAAAAAAAAAAAAAACAAGAAAAATGGCATGAATACTATGAATGTTTGTTATTTCTATATTATATGATTAGTAAAAAGAAAGGGGCACATATAGCCTGGTTATGGACTCGCGCTCCTGAGGACGGGAGTTCAAATCTAGCTGGCCAAAGATTCCCCCTGTAGTGAATGGTGCAGGTCAAATCTGTCGGGTCGCAAAGTCCTCCCATAACAAATTATACTTTTGGGGGTGTACTGAATTGGAGATTGATTATTCTCTGGTTTAGGTCAAAATTACAATCTGTGGATGAATAGATGTGTCAATGGCTTCACCCTGGTGTGATGTATGGATGTTTGCAGAAGTCGAATTCTCGGCCATGGATGGCGCCACTGGGAAAGAAGAACAATCAGAATTTTTGCCTTAATGGCTTACAACAACACAAAAAAAAAAAAAAAAACACTTTAAGTAATAGTTAATTTATTATTTTTTGTGATTAGATTTTAGCAAGCCAAGTTTTAACTTTTCTGCTACAAAAGATGGGCACATTATTTATTTAGTCATCATAACTTCTCATTAACCATTTTTTCAATAGACTGGAATTAGTCTGATGAAAAAAAGGCTCTGTTGTCACGTGGAGTGATTTTTTTTTCAGAATAAAACACATAACAAACTTACTTTAATCTGACGAGAACAGAATTAAGGGGGGACCCACCCGGAATATTTAAAAAATTCTAAGCATTTATTATCGCATTTTTCGAATCTTTGTACCCTTCCTAATGTCTGTCTAAAACGATTTCTCGGTACCTAACTTCGTTTGGAAGTTATACCGGAAAATAGAGAGTCGCCGCTATGCAGGTAGAAAGGCCCGTTTGGCCGGATTAGGACAGGCGACATTCTTTTTGTGTCTGATCAATTCTGTTGACGGAGAAGATATATGGACCTGGAATTGCAGAATAAAGGTAAGTCATTACTAATTTAATAATTTACAAGATTGAACATAAGTCAAAACTTTAAACGCATTTTTCTCAAAACACTGTTTTTTGACCTGGCCTAATGTTTTTCTCATGATCTATACAACAAAATAAGCTGTTCTTTATTTTAAATTACGTAAAAATATATTCTTCAGAAAGTAGCATAGGATATTTTTATATTTCGATCTTATATAAGTATTTTAATGAATATTTTTTTAATGAAAAACTTAACTTTTTTTTTTAAGTTGCCGCCATTTTAGTAATTTTGCGAATATCAAAAAACCGCTATGCTACTTTTTAGATAATGTATTTATGCTTCAGAAAATCTAAACAAAAAAGTTTTCTTAAGTTACAGGACTTCTAAATCCATGAGGCCAGTGAGGTGCTACTTTTTGATGCCCAGCCACCAACTTATTTTTTATTATTTTGTAAAANACTTTTTTTTTAAGTTGCCGCCATTTTGGTAATTTTGCGAATATCAAAAAACCGCTATGCTACTTTTTAGATAATGTCTTTACGCTTCAGAAAATCTAAACAAATAACATAAAAAAAAAACAAGGAGTCTCTGCATTGCCTCTATTACTAAAAAATTCAAGAAAAATAATATTTTACCATTTCAGGGTAGGGTCCCCCCTTAATAAATCACAACTTTTTTTATTTTATTTTCCCTAGCAAAACAAGTGTGAAAGTTATAGCAAAATAAAAAAGGATAATAGGAAAACGTATTTGGAACACTTTGTTAATAAAAAATAATTTATCACCCTTTATTGTTATCTTTGCAATTGAATTCTATTCCTTTCCTGCAGCAGTTTGTCAATGATCATAGCAATCCACTTTGGTTTCAATAGTTCTGTGGTTCTATAATTGCATCGTAGTTACCTCTAAAGAATAGACAAGTATTGCATAAGTTTATGTATTTTAATTTACCATAAATTTATAAAAAGTATACTTTTTTTTGAGATGAAGAAATGGTTCTGTTTAATCAGTTGGGACTGAATAAAATGTCGCCAAAAACTTTTGTCCTGGCACAAAATAAAATAAAAAATTCATCAACTATTGCTTATTACATATTGTTTTGTATAAATTAATGAACGTTTTTGGTTTTGATAAGGGCATCAACCATTTTGTTTATTTGTAAAAAAAGTCCTAAATTATTGCAAGGAAAAAAAATGAAGAAAATAGCTAGGGAGATTTGCACATGCCTAAACAAAGAGTATCAAAGAATTTTTCTGAAACTATAAAAATTTGCAAGTGATTTTATTTCTTTCTCTTCAAAAATGCAAGATATTCTCAGCTATAATACCAGAAGGCACAATATATTAATTAAGATTTGCAAAAATCTGCCAATTAATAATAAAAAAAAAAAACCTTTCAGAAACAAAACTTTCTTTTCTAAAAGTAGCCAAGATTTGCAATTTTAATCTTTAATAAACTTTTTTAGATTAAAAATATTAAATATATATTTAAAATTATTATTCTTATATTCAAAACTCACTGATGTTTTTTTTTTTGAGGGAGGATACCTGGGCAATTTGATATCTCTGATATTAATTAATGTATTTATTGGCACAAATGCTTAAGATGAGCTTAAACATCAAGATATAAGAAATATATGCATATAATATGCCTGTTACATTCCATGCATAAAATTTACAAAAGTGGGCCATTTTTAAATAATATTTTTCAGGGTGCATAGCCAAATTATTCAACAAAAAATAAGCACCTTTTAAGCACTCAGAAAATATTTTTAAGCATTTAAAAAAAATATCATTAATTAGGCAAGGTTCAAAGGTTTTTGATAATTAACGGTTTTATCTTGTTTTAACCGTCATGTAAAAAAAAACCCAACCTATTGGCATTGTTTCTGACGATTGTCAAAAATCATGAAATTTTGAATCAAGTAAAATGAATGGCGTTTTCATACGCTACGGATTGACAATACGCCGACATAAATTGGAGTTGAATTAATTGTGAAAACGTTGAACAATATGAACTGTGTCGTTTTGCATAATTCGAAGTGGGCTACAAGTTATTTCCTTCGAGTTGGTTCCTTTCTGTGATGTTTCTTGTAAGTTTCTCGTGGGCCACTGCCCGGAAGTTGCCAAGACTTGGCGATTAATCAGCTATACATCACGATACGGAAATTTATTCGGCCAGAGATCACAATACGGAAATCGCCCTCCCCCCAAAATAGAATAGTTAATTAAATCTACTCAAGGTCACGCAATATACATCTACTGCAAGCAATAATATATGAAAGTTAAATATAATATAGAAAAACTTTATTTTTAGAAAATTTATAAATAGCTTAATAATTTACAAACAAATTGCGTTAACATTACTTAATATCTAATACTTCTAGGATCTGAAGTTTATGAATACACAGTATCAGTCTCTTAAACTTTAAAATAAAACAGAGACTTTCATTCTAGATGTGATTTTACAGATGCGCGATTGAACAATGTTATAATTTAGGCTATATATTTAGTGGTTATTTCTTTAAAAAAATGAAAATTAAAACAAATTTTAAATGTAAACAGACACACTAGTTACGATATAGAAAATAAACAAAAACATTGATATAGCTGGTTACAGTGAAACTGAATGACATTGGATTTGTCATATCTTCAAATCTCAATCAAAGCTCTAAGCTCAATCCTTTCTTTTGGTAATTACAAATTACGCAGCGTAATTTTCTAAAAGAAATTTCTGCTCATGTTTTGCGTTCTTTGTTTTTATGTAAAATATGGCAAAAAGATATTTCGCTTCATGTGTAAATGTTTCATTTTATATTAATATGACATTTATAAATATGGAGAAGCACTCAAAGAAACAAATTGAAACGAAATAGAACATGTTAAGTAAAAATTATGTATTATAAAAGACAGAGAAAAGGAAAAATTTCTTCTGTTGATTATTTACATGATAAATGTTTTACTTCATGTGTTCAATTTTCTTCTTTTTTTTGAGTGCTCCTCACACATTGTATAAATGTATTTTGCTTTGCTTATATTAATAATAGCGTTTTTAAAAAGTGCTTAAATGTGATTATTTTCGTTTTTTTTAAAAAGCCCTTAAAGGGGCCTTTATCATTGGGTTGGGAGTTTTTAAGAAGTGATTAATTTTCCCTTTTCAAAAATGTAATGTCGATTTCGCTATGCATTATGTAAAAGCGTACTTTTCACATTTTTTGATTCAATTCATTGTTCTATACAATTCATTTTTCACAATTCATTCATGTTTGATGAAATACTTCATTGTCCTCTGAGCTGGGTTCTGGGAGATTATTGCACTCTCATGTGCAACTCCGCTGCATTTTGCAAGATATTCTCAATATCAGGCTTCATTTTCCACCCTCTGATATTGAATCGAAAGATCTCTTGATCATTTTATAATGGCTAATATTATCAAGAGTAGAGTTCTTTGTCAGAAACTAGTTATTTTATCATGATCATGTTGTTTTTAGAAATTATTTATTTATAAAGTCTTTTAAAATTATTTTGTTGATGTATATAGTACTTAAAAATATTTTTTGAGTGCTTAAAAAGTACTTAAAAGGTGCTTATTTTTTGTTGAAAGGTTTGGCTGCCCACCCTGTTGATACAATATTGGAAAACACTCCTTTTTGTGGATATAGTTGTGAGAGCTTATGGAGAGATTATTTTTTTTGTTTTCTGTCTTTATTAATATTTAAATTTTTTTTTTAAATATTTTGTTCCAATAAATTTTCTTTTTCTCTTTTTATTAATCTTTTATATTTTTCATAATTTCTTTATTTTTCTCTACATTTTAAGTGCAGCTTATACACTGTAAATTAAACTTATTAATTTTCCTTCTTTTTTTGTCTTTTCATCCTTTTTGTCTTTATTGTGCTATATATATAAGTTCAAAATGTAATAAAACATGGAAAAAATTACAGAACAATGAAAAAAGAACAATAAAAATTCAGGAAAAAAATCCGACAAAAAGGAAAAAAAATTAATAGAAATCCGGAAAATGAAAGTTGTAATCTGCCATACATATATGTATACATATATACAGTACAGAACCCGTTATCCGGAATTCGGAAAACCAAAAAACCGGAATAAAATTCGATAAATTTCCCCCCCATTTTTTAAATTTTTTTTTTCTCATAAGATTTTAGGATTTTTCATTCTTTTTTGAAAGATGTTTACCTTACCATCATTTTGGAAATAATCATTGGTGTATTACTTCATCGTTTTTTCCTCTTTTTAAGATTATTTCCAAATTTTTTTTTTCTAGTTGGGTTTAACAATAAAAAAACGGCTTTTTGTAGCGATTCAGAAAACCGGAAAAATCAGTTATTCGGAATAGCAATGGTCCCGATCGTTCCGGATAATCGGTTCCCTACTGTATATATTTATATAAATTGATTAGTTAGTATACAACTTCAAAGCTTTTTTGTGCTTGAATTATAAATGAGGTATAATGAAAAAAAAAATTATGAGCATATTTAGTGTCCAAAACTTTGATGATTTATGAGCTATTTTTACTGTACTATTCCTGCTGCAATTGAAATGTATTCTTATGTTTTATTCTAGATTTCAAAAAATTAAAAATCTTTTCACTGTCCCACTGGGTAGGATAATTTGTGATGCTTTCTATGTATATAAAAAATAAAAATTAGCTAACAAGCTCATAGGACATAAGATAATAAGCTCATAGCTAAGCATAGTATAATTATTAGCATTTCAGATGAAGGTTTTACGTATTTCATATAGACACCGTATTCATATAGAGATTATTACGTATTTCATATAGAGATATTTTCATATAGACACCTGTTTGCACCAACTGGAATCATTAAGGTCCCAAATAAAATTGCTTTCTTGTTTTACTTGGAATAAATTAAAGAAAAATATAGTTTGTCAAGTGATAATTTTTAATTTTACCTTTCAAATTTTTCCCTTTCTATACCTTTTTTTATTTATTTCTATGGCAAAAAAAGTTGCCAAATTGTGCAACATTAACCAACCCTATGCAAACCACAGCATATTTTAATTCAAATTCTTACAGGTAAAAAAATTCCTGGTGGCTTGGTGGTGATATTTGGCCGTAATAGGTCTAGTTATGAGTTTGCTCCTTTCTGAGATGTTCCTTCATTTAATTCTTTGCATGAAACTGGATGAATAATTTGCTGCATGCATTGCTGTGAAATATATAAAACATCTACAGTCTCTGACCATATTAATAGACGCACTGTAAGATTCTATGTAAAATTATAATTATCAGGTGATATTATACAGCTGTATTGTTTTTACTCGGTTTGCATTTGTTTACGCTCCTGTATCAATTGGTTAATTAACATTGTAATGCAATACGTTAAGAATAAATGCAAATAGAAAGTATCTAAAAAATCTCCTGAATAAAAACCCATTGCATGTATGTTTAAATATAAAAGTATTGAATATAAACTCGTGCAAATCATATCATTATTAAAAAAAACTATAGTGCGTCTAATAATTTGGTCTAATTATTAGAATATACTAATATAATGCTTGATATAATAAATATTCTATATTTATATAATATTTTGTCTCATTTATCCTATCATCAAATTTATATTTTATATTGTCTAAATTAACCAATTGATTCGCGAACGTAAACTAGTGCAAACCGGTTTCTGTCACGTAAAAACAATAAAGCTGTATAGTATCGTCTGATAATTAAGATTTTAAATAAAATCTTATAGTACGTCTAATAATTTGTCCAGGGACTTCATATATATATGTATAATATATATATATATNTATTTATATATATATATACATATAGAGAGAGATTTGTATAACTTTTTATCTGTGAGGGGTTTAAAAAAATATTTATTCCTTCAAATTTTATAAGCTATTGTAATAAAACTGCCTTCAAGCTATGTATGAACAAAAATCTTTATTTTTCTTATTAAAAAAAATTTATGATGCTTTATTTAGCCTTATTTCAAATAATTACTTAAAAATGTAATTTATTCTTCGTAGAAAACAACTCCCCTAGAGCTCGGCATTGAAACTATTTTCTTGACTTTGATACATCAAAATCCACCTCGATACTCCAATGCCATCGATTGTATTGCGAATAAAATTAACAGAGTACCAAGTGAGAAAGTTCTGTCTTCAGTCATATTTCAAATACTAATGGTAAGCTTATATCTGTTTTGTTTTGAGTTATATCATTGCATTGAACATACCAACACTTAATCTGTAACTGTTTCTACCATATCCGGTCAAATAACCTGACTTCTTGATTGAATGTATGAAATATGGATGTTGGGAAGGAAATAAACTGAAAAACTCTATTGTAATTAAACAAATTGTATATTGCCAATTTTTATGTATTACAAACACAAAGAATAAGAATTTTTAATTCATTGCTCAACAATTCTTATAATTATAAGAATTATAATTTTTCTTATAATTAATATTATATCTTCTAAGAACTTGTGCACTTTTGATTGTTTCCACATTTTTCTGAGTAAAAACTATCAGTTAGTTAGAAATGAAGTAAAGCTATCAAAATAAAATATAAGCTACTGACCAAAACATTTAGTTTTTGTCACCTTTTCTTACATAAAAAGGCCAGTCTAAAATTTTAGGTGCTGTCTTGAAATTTGAGTTCATAGTTATTCTGATTGCACTATCTATGCAACAGTCTTCGCAGTAATGTACACCTAATCAAATGCAATACTTAGAACACGCATTACATCGTACTTTCTGATCTGATGGCCTTATAAAGCAATTAATAGTTCTCCCAGTCAAACGACCGGTTGTGGCATAAATAGGTATACGACAAGTATTATTTGAAGCAAACAAAATACAAATAATAATAATAATAACAGAATATTTACTGTATATAATTGTTAGAAAAAAGTCAGGAAGTCAAATGTGCTAAAACAATAAGATGATAAGCCCATTTTCGATTTAGAAGTTCTTAAACAATCATTTGACCAGTTATGATATGTTTAGTGTTAAGGGCATTATATCGCATTAAGGGCTGTTTTCTGATTAAAAAAAGTTATATCATGAAAGCAAAATTTCAAATTTTTGCAGATTCTACATTTCACGACACAAAAAACTCTTAATTGAAATCAGGATTGAGTTTTTGATATCGAAAACTGGTAAGAACCTAAGACAAATTCCTTTTTAGTCATAAGGGACATTTTATTAGATATTAATAGATTTATTAGATAGAAGTCAAGTTAGAAAACTAAAATCTTGTTTGGAATCTATATAGTCTCAAAAAAAAAAAAAAAAAAANGAAATGAAATTCTAAGAAATTTCTTAATTATTTTTTATTATGTTCTCATTAATACTAAAGCAAAATAAAAAAAAATCATTGTTTTATTTTAAACAAAGTATTTATCAATATCTATAAAATATTTTGTCTTCTTAAAGAAGATAAGTTTGAAAGCATTAAAAATTGTTTAGTAATGCTAACACTTTTTATATTTGATGAGTTTATGCAAAGTTGAAAAAACTGCTAGATGTTTTATTCCATGAAATGAGTTGCATAATGTGAGTTATCACTTTGCTGACCTATCAGAGAGATCTCGTTATGTTAACTATTAGTACACTACACATCTTGGAAGTCTTCTTGTTTGACAATAGTTAATTGTAGCAATTGTTAATTGTCAAAAAATGTATAGTTGTTAGCTCAAATTTAGGAGCAATTTATTTGGTCAGCAAAATGAAGACCGCTCACTTATTTGTTTAATATAACTGTACTTGTTTTTAATTAATTTTTCTTTTCTTACTATTTTATTATTTTGCTATTTTATTGTAAGAGATATAGTTTATTTAAAGCCCTGTGGCAGAACTTCAGCGATGCAGCGACATTGTCACAGAAGACTTTTCTTCCAGAAAGACTTTTCTTAAAAAAAAGTCTTCCAGAAAGAATTAAAAGAAAAGTCTTCCAGAAAGACTTTTCTTTTAAAAAGTTTTAAAAAAATTACTTTTCTTTTCTACAGAAATTCACTAGTCACTTTTTGACATGCTCGATTTACAACGATAGTATTGTTATTCGATGAAAGGTTTAAATGGTAGTTTCGGCTGTTATAGTTATTGGTTTTCCTGTAGATTTTAAATGTCATGATATATTTCAAACATTATGGGAAATTTGAATCCTGCATGCATGTGAGTATTTACATTTTCAGGTAATAATTAAATTGAGTTTTTGACAGTAATTGCCATTGATTTCTCCGTAACTTTTAAATCCAATATTTTTTATGCAATATTATTTATTACAACAACGTAATCTCGAAGCGAAACACGCATTTGAGGAGCCTGGTTCGCATGATTGCGTTGTCAATCTTTTTTTCGGCAATCACTACTACATATTTCACGTTTTCTAATTTTATTTTTTTACTGTGATAAATATTTACAATTTGCGAGGAAAAAAATAATTTTTATGTCCCCCCCCCCACAAAATGCTAGAGTATCACAATTAATATTAAAATTAAAAATTATTACATGTTTTATTAAGGAAAATTATATAGTTTTTTTTGTAAACACAGCGCTTTTGTTATTTTAAATTTGTGACATATATGTTTATTATTAGTAAAAGTATCTTGCAGAAAGATATTAGTGATAGAGAGTTTTGTCACCGATAGCTCGAGCAAATTCTGCCACAAGGGTCTAAAGTAAGAATTCCCCTAGCCATTCATGTGGACCCATGACTATGGTAATGTGGTATAACTATTTCAATTAGGGGTGTGGGGTCATTGTTTAGGACAGGATTTGGCTCTGGTCAGCGAGAGAAAGGGAACTTTTTTCTTCGGTCTATTGTCTCAGTCCTACAGTGACGAGAAGTTACCCTTCCTGAATTGCGCTATTCTTCTTTCCGTAGCAGCAGATGGCCTTGGAGGGGGGAGTTTTTACTGTAGACATACTATACCACGTGTAACAATGCCCGTAGTTGAAAAGCAGTTGAAAATTCAAAAAGAGCATTGCTGTTAGAATAACTCAAAAGCCTTGGAACGACAAATCACCTGTTGTCTTTAAGTGACCCAGATATAAGATTTAACATATACATCAAAATTTTAAATTAAATATCTGTAGTATATCTACCACTGCAAAAATACAATTCCAATTCACTCGTATATAAGATCTGATAACTCGACTCTATGTCGGAGTAGATGGCGGTTCATAGATGACGGTTGACATTGTCAATAACTATCTCCACATTGTTAACCCGGACGTGGTGTGTTAACACCTACCTTGATGGAAACTCCCATTTCAATATGAACCCGCCTATCTTGACAGAAAAACTCTCATTTCGATATGAACACCCCTATGTGGACAATAACACCCTCCTCGATCTGAACACGCCTACTTCGATGAATGGTCCACATTGAACAGTTGACTTGATACGCGTGACTGCAACATTATCTATCTCCGCTCGCTGTTGCTGCTCAGTCTCAATCACACACAACATATACACTCAACTGCTAAAGGCAGTTGATGGCAGTTCTATGTTGGGATACCTTTTGTTAGTTGAAGGTTGGCAATGTCAATAACTACTATCCCCTCGTTCCAAAATCCAAACAAATGAATAAATAAAATCTGTGCAAAATTTTATCTATCTTTGTGTTGAATTCTGTATTTGAGATGGGAAAAAAAAACTCATTAATCATGAAAAATTTTAATTTCAGAGTGAAGACTGTGATAAAAAAAGTGCAATTGCTGCCAATCGCTACTTGTACGATACTCTGACGATCTATTCACCTTCAGATTACAGTCGAAGGTACTATTACAAAAGTGCGTTAACTGGTGGAAGAGGTTTTGGATTCACAAATTTATGGGCTGTGTTTGAACGCATTGTTAAGTAAGTAATAGATCAAAAATGTTAATTTAGAAAATCAGAAATACAATTCTAGCAGAAAAACAAGAAAAATTTTATGATCTGAGGTTTAGCAGAAGAGCACTTCATCAGGGGACACACTGCCTGCTAACACACAGGAGCCTTTCTGTTGTCAGTGGCTCACATTCAAATAATTACGTTTAATAATTATAAAAGACGTTCAAATAATTTGGCCAATATTGAAGCTCGCATAAATAGGTCTATGCAGTGAAATTTAGGATTTTATGTTCCTGAAGCATATAGATGACAGCATTTTTTAACATTTTTACTCATTAAATGTTTTCTTGTTTTCAAAAAGGTGTCAGCACTTGATTTATATTTTATTTTGATGTGGCTATTCTAACTGTAACTTTATCTTTATTTATTTTTCATATATGTGGAGGACTCTTTATTAAGTCTTAGTCTGTGTGCTTTTAAATCATTAATAAGAATTTCTCAGTGTACTTTTAAATTGTGATTGTTTGTCATTAATTTTTCTTTGCATTTGCATTTAAATTTTTCTAATTTCTTTTTCTTATTTGTTTTTCCATTATGAGGCCTCGGGGCACTGTCAATTTTTTGTTTCAACACTGACAACAGAAAGGCTCCTGTGTGTGAGTCCCGTGTGTTGTCCCGCTAAGACACAAATCTTATAATTTTTGTTGTTTTCTGCTAGAATTGTATTTGTGACATTTATTAATTTACATAGAAAAAAATGGCATTCGCGAGCGAAAGTGAAAGTAACGCAGATAAATTTTCAGATTATGAAGATGTGAACATTTACAAAGACTAATATTTAACTTTTTTCATTTGCCCGAGATAATTTGGGATAGTATACTGATGGTAAATTATATATTTATTACGCATAAAAAAACTAAAATTTCAACTTAGAAATTATGTATTATGTTTTGTTTTAGTTCCTTGTATTTATTAATAAAATGGAGAAATTTTTTTTTTGATTTTTGTCATTTTTTTTCTTCAAAAAAATTGGTAAGGGAAGCGATTAAAATGTTTAAGTATTTAGTTTACTTAAATATTAATTTTTTGCCTTTAGCTAATTTTTAGCAATGTGTTAAAATGTGCAGTAAATGAACCAATCATCACTTTTATGTACAAAAATATGTTTATAATGCTATGTAGTTTTAATTCTATCTTTTATTCACAGCTCAAGTTTCATCCATCATAAAATACGGGAGGCAGAAGAAGAGCAAGGAAGAAATCCTATTCCATATCCTAACTGTGATATTTTAGTTGATTTTTATGTGCGTGTGCTTATTGACAATTATGATTTTTTGTCATCTGAAAGGTAAGTTAGCTATTTCCTTCATTATTAGGCCACTACAAACATCAATATGTTTTTTCACAAAATATTTTTGTTTTAGTGTCAATATTTTTGTTTTAGTGTTATTTTTCTCACTGTGAAAAAGAAAATTCAAAACATAGTTATTGAAGTTACGTTTTATTTTTTTTAAGCATCATAGTATAATAAAGTATTGAGATGAGGGGGTGTTTATTCACTGGACAACCAAGCGATGAAAAACCAGCGAAGGAACAAGTGTTCCGTTACTGTTTTTTTTTCTAAGTTAATGAAAATAAAAGATAAACTTTAATTTTCTTGTACCTTTAGTGATGTTCCGCATCAAAAGTATGTTAAAAATACGAAAAACAACTTCTAACCAGTGAGGGAACAGGCATGTTCCCTTACTGGGCATAGATTTCCCAGTGAATGAACAGTATGTGTTAATATGTTGACACTTTAATTTTCAATTCATGATTACAAAAAAAGTTAAAATTTTCCAAGTATTTATATGTTATTATTTCAAGAATAGGTTTGTTTTTAAATATTTGTATGGCTTATAAATTCATAAAGAGCATTAAAAAATAACCAAAATTAAGTGTTCCTTTACTGGGTGTTCATTCACTGGTAAGAGCTGTTCCTTCACTTGGTCTTCTTACTACTTGTTATTTGAACCTCCAAAACTTTAAAACAATAAGTGCTCTACAATTTTTTTAGGTAATTTGCAATTAGTAACAAATATGTTGACACTATCATTTAAGTAAAATTACGAATTTTGAAATTAATATGATTTTTTAAGAGGCAAGCGAAGCTTAAGTGTTCCTTTACTGGTTAGTTTACCCTACTTAAAAAATAAACCTAGTATCTTGAAAAATAGTTCCGGTCGGGAATTCTGGATAAGTGTAAAGCGGACAAGTATCTCAATCTTATTATCTAAATTGAATCAATTATTGTTAATTAAAAACAGCTATTATTAATAAATTCTGGTTATTTTAAACTTAAATTAAAAAAAAAACAGCAAATGATAATCTCGAGTGAATTTTTACTTTAGGTTGGTGAAATCAGACCAATTTTTGACTTAAAAGTTATATGTGCAGTGTTTTCATCGCAGAAAAAAAATGGGTGAGAATTTCTCACTCTTTCTCAAAGACAGGGTGAGATTTCAAAAAGTTAAGTAAGATTTCTAAAAGTTAAAAAAAAAAATAACGCAAAGAAGCTTGGAAAAAAAAATCATTTCTTTAATAATAATACATTTTTAACATCTTCTAATTTTTAAAGCATTGAATATTTTTGCTGCACATCATATGGAAAATGTTCTACGTCTACTTTTTCATCAGCTTTTCTCATTAGGTTGCTCAAATGCGTATTTGTTTCGTTTTGATCGTTTCTACCCACATTTGTTTCATTTTCATTTGTCCGTTTCGGAGTAGAAGATATTGCCTTTACAAGGTATTTGTCCATCTTACATTAATGCTCTAAAATTTAAACGTCTTACATGAAGAAACCTTACCTACGTTTAAACACGTGGTTGCAGAGAAATGCGTTCTGAAAGAGGTTCCGTGGTTCCGAGAGATGGTGTTCCGTTGTTCTTAAAGGTTATGAACAATACTGGTAAATAGAGAAGCTAGATAATGGGGCAGATGTTGAAAATAATGAAAGATCCAGGAAGAAAAGTGAAACGAAATTTATTCTAAATGGCGCAATGACAAATTTTTTCAAAATGCGAGAAATTCGCGAATTTTGAAATTGGTTTATAGAATGCGCAAATTTCTCGCGGTAATCATCTTTTAATGCGAGAAAAGAAAAAAATATGCGAGATTCTCGTGTTCTCGCGCTGTAGTGAAAACACTGATGTGATATCATTTTAAAAACTTCTCAAATTTAGTAAACGTTTCCCTTTGCAAATGCGCATGCTCCTAGAAATTCGACACTAAAAAAGGCTGCAACGGACAACAATTAGAGAAACAATTTATGGAAAATTGGAGGAAATCCTTTTTGTTGACTTGCTGATTTTGATCTGCTCCAAGTAATGCAAAAAAAGAAGAAAAAAATTATATATATATATTGTACAAAATTATGTATATTGAGTTTCGGAGGCCCTTGCAAATTTTTAAGTTTCATGCGAAGCTTTAAAAAAAATTTAATTTTGAGTGGCGCCTGTAGTTTTTGTGGTCCTAAACTACAGTCTATCTAGTTAATATGTAAATGCGGCCATGAAGAGTAAACAGTTATTGAGATTTAAGTTAAATAATTCTTATGTTTGATGTTTATGTTTAACAGGGTGCGTAGCATTTTAAAAAAGTGGTTAAAGGTGCTTATTACGACTTTCGTTTTTTTAAAGCCCTTAAAGGTTTTTCACTGGGTGTTTTTAAAAAGTGCTTAATTTTCCCTTTTCTTAAATGAGATTTTTTTCTTTACCATATCAATTTTTGCCCCAAATTACGCAAAAAGCGTGTTTTCCACATTGTTCTATTCAGCGTTTTCATAATTCATTCACCCACTATCTATTTCGACATGCCATTGATCTGTAGCGTATGAAAGCGTAAATCATTTTATGAAATGCTAGTGGGTTCGAATTCTGAGCTGGATTCGGTGGGATGGATTCGTGCATTCTCATGCGCAACTCTGCTGCATTTTGCGAGGGAAATAAACTTTTTAAATTTAATTATTTATAATTTTGAATAATTTTTTTACATAATTGTGTAAAGTAATCATAAATTTAAAAAAATTGAATAATTCACTCAATATTGAATGTATTTAAAATTGTGAAATTGTTTTTATGGTGGCTAATATAATCACGAAAAGAATTCTTTGTCAGAAACTAGTTATTTTATCATGATCATGTTACTTAGAAAACTATTTTGCATTTTGTTAACATATATATATATATATATATAAAGAATTTTCAACAATATGAAGGAAAAAAATTATTAGTGCGCATATCCTAATTATAAATTTTTTTTAAAGTGCTTAAAAATGTTTTTTGAGTGCTAAAAAAATCCTTAAAAGGTGCTTATTTTTTGTTGAAAAATTTGACTATGCGTCACAGATTTAATAAGTTTTATAAGCAGTTGGAATTAAACAAAAATGGAACATCATGGATATAATTGATATTAGATGAAATTGATATTTATTAAACAGCAAATTACTTTTATACAACTAAAAAAATTATATAATCTGTAAGTTTCATGTTCATAATATATATTTAGTCTCATTTCCCCTTCTTTTGAAAATCAATAACACATGTATCCCCCTTTTCCTGGATAAAACGTATATTGTGTGCATATTTTGTTAAAAGATAATTATGTATTAAACCTAATCTATATATAGCGCCTGGTTAGTAGGATGCTGTACTTTATGTTTGGGAGAACGGAGTTTGAATCCAGCTGATTGAAGAATCCCCGAGTATTAAATGGTAACTGGTGCACACTAAATCTGACGGATCCCAAAGTCCTCTATGTTCCCATAACAAATTATACTTTCGGAGGGTAACCGGACCAGAAATTGATGGTTCTCTGGTTCAGGCCAAAATTGCGATCTGTGGATGAATGAATGAACGTATGCATGGATACGCCCTATTACCGGGTCAGGCAGAAGTCGAATTGTTGGCCATAGATAGTGCCTCTGGAAAACAGCAACAATCGCACCCCAGAGCTTACGACATCAATCCATAAGTAGAGCTAATGTCTAAAGCTTAATCAACTAAAATTTTTCCCACAAAGAAAGTAAAAGTATTGATTTAGTCTTCATGAAAATTGAACACTTCCACATTATTAAGATCTATAAATATTTAAATGTATTGTACAGAAAGTTATGTAAATCCTCTTTTCAATGTCAAATCCTTCTTCTTTCTATGTACACCACTAACTTGGTAAAGCTATCAAAGCTTAACATTTATTTAACCAATGTACTATGTTGTATAAAATTTATTCTGAGTACATTATATGAATAAGAATGTTTGTATTTGAGCAGTTTAAAAATATTTTCAACTTGCATCAATAATTAAAAAAAAAAATTCTTTAAAATGAAAATAATTTTATCATGCCAATCCTGATTTTATTATCAACAACTTTTTCAGCTTCAGTGTTTAAAACAAGTAATTATAATTATATTATTAATTTTAAAGATTAATTTCTTGAATATATAATGAATTTCAAAATATTTCATGAAAATAAATTTCTTCACTTCAAAAAAAAAAATTAGAGTTTAAAGTATAAATTTGCATTTTCAGTTAAAAAGAAAACAAAATCTGCATGCAAGATGTACATTAATAATATTCAGAATCTAGCTCATTTTTCTAAGATTACTTTTTCATAATTAATTGAATGGTGGTATAACTTTGCGTTATGAATAAATATAATATAAAACTTTATATCTTTTTCAATCATAAAACCATTTAATATTTATAATGACAGACATTAAATTTTTTACAATAACGTAAAATATTTAACACTCACACTATATATATATATATATGTATACAAATTATGTTAAAAAATAATTAATTAGTTAACCCTTTCGCGACGCAAAGCGCGAAAGCGCGCTTACCGCTGAGGCCGGCAGTCTCTCTAGCGTGTGTCTCCCCAGGGCCGGAGGGTTTTTCGATGTTAAGCCTAATTCCATGAAATTACCGAAATATCAGCGCGTTGTTTAATATTGTTCTGTAGAGTATTTAAGTGACATATGCTTTATATATATTTCTATGGATAATTTATTTACTTAAGTTATTTCTTGTTTAAATGTAATATAAATATTAATAAGTTTAAATATTTCGCATAATTTCCTCTATTTCCAGCTCAGTTAAAAATTTTCGACGCTTCGACATTCTAACGGTAAAAAGAAAAAAAATTCAAGCCTACAAGATCTAATTATCCACTAAAAACTAATCCGAAAATCGAAAGTAGCGAGAGATAAAAAAAACTCCCTTACTTACTGTAAATAAATATCACGTGCTAATTTAAAGAGCCCTCATAAAACATTCCCCCCCTCCTCTCCTTCCCCTAAAAACCACGTGAATGTACTTTAATCTTGAGTAGAAGGTCAAATCTACATGTATCTGAAACCATAAGGACATACAATGCCATCTTTTGGAAGAAATTTCATTTTTTAAAACGTTCCGAAACACTGGCACAAATATGTGACGGTCGGGGGAGAACGCGAAAACTCTCTGACACGCGGTGTGTCGGCCGGGAAGTGAGCGCGTTTCTTGCTGTCACATATATGTGACAGTCGGCTCGAAAGGGTTAATTCAATCAGGCATGATAAAAAATATCTTAAGAATTCTAACAGTTTTAGTGTCCAATTTGTCATCAATATTTTGATAACATAGCATTTTAGCTGTTAAATCAATTGCTCTCTTTAACAAATGTTTGGATTTCACATGTCAATTCCATCTAACTCAAGCAACTGATGTGATAAATGAAGAATAATTATCACCATTTGTTTTACAGCAAATAGATAACTAAATTTTTGTGTCAGCTCGGAATTTCAACTTCATGTCTAAGGCCACCATTAATTGTTTTACACTTATCAAAAGGCACTGTTGCAAAAGATCTAGCAACTAAACATCGTTAAATTCATGAGTTGAGTTTGTAATTACTAGTTGGTGCATTTTTCAAATCGACAATAGTTTCAACTTGTATTAATAATTAAAAAACAAAAGACGATTTAAGTTGAAAATAATTTTAATTTGTAAAACTTTTAATCTAAATAGAAAAAAAAATTTCAAATAATGTAAAATACTTAACACAAAAACTTAAAAAAATATAAGTTCACAAATAATCTATTAGTTAATCAGTTCAGTCTAGCAAAATAGAAAAAATAATAACTTACGGATTTTAACAGTTTTGGCATCCAGTTTGTCAATAATGTTTTGGCAGCTTTGTATTTTAGTTGTCAAATTAGTAGTTCTCTTGATCAAATGCCTGGATTCTTCATTGATTCCACTAAAAATATTGTCTGCTACTCTAGCAAATTGTAATATATGACAAATGGCATTAAACGTTCGCTTATTAGCAGACAAAACATCTATATTTTCTTTTTGTGTGCGTAATTCAGATTTCTCATCTTCTTGTTTAGAGCCATTATTTATTATACATTTATAAAAAGGCATTGTTGAGAAAGAAAAACATCGCTAAAGCTTTAATTTCAGAATCTTAAAGTCTAAACAGTTCAGAAGACAATGCCAAAAATTGTTTTAAGAACAAAATCATTTCAACTATTAAAATTAAAACAATGCCGAAACTTTTTTTCAGGTTTTCACTAGTTAAATTTAAATTATACTTATCATATTTAAAACAATCTTCATCATGAAATCTCAGAATGCATTCTTAATCTTTCCAGTCTAAATGAATTTGATGTTATTAGTCCAGCTTGCTCAGTCAACGAGATCTAAACTTTCAATAACACGTCTTTCTGAATTTGTTTTTCTATGATTTCTTCAAAATTATGAAATCGTTATCCCAGTGATTACGTTAAAATATCCTTGAGGTAAACTAAAGTAATGCACAATCCATTTTTTTTTTTTTGCAAATTAACACCTGTAAAGAGAAGTTTTCCAATCAATTCAAAGTTCCCACTTTTTGTGTGTTTACATTCTAAACATCTGCTACTCGCACCACCTGCCTTTCATCTACCAGACTCACTGAAAAAATCCCAAAAAGTGATCTGAGCAAGTTCGCCTTCCTCTTCCTGCTACCTCTCAGATAATAACAATGAAAGTAGATTTCCGTGTTGGAAGGGCGAAGTTCACATTGAATCAGAGACTGGAATGTTCTTCCTCTTCTGAGCTGTTTTTTTCTCTTAGTAATGTGTTCGTGTTTGATTCAAATTTAAGAAACGCTTACTCATCAAGTTTATTGTTAGTGTTCTAAAGCTTTGTTTAATTCTATTTTAACAAGAATATTCTTTCGGTTTTACTTACTAGAAACTATAATGTTAGTCTATACTGCTAGACTATATTGTTCTACTTTATTACTCATGGTGCGAAGCATTTTTAAAAAGTGCTTCATTTTCTCGTTTCGAAAATGAGATTTTGCTCTTAACCATGTCGATTTTTGCCACGTATTATGCAAATGCATGCTTTTCACATTGTTCTATTCAACATTTTCACAATTCATTCAAACACAATGCATTTCGGCGTACCGTCTGTCCGTAGTGTGTCAAAGCGTCAATGATTTTACTTGTTTGATGAGATATTTGCGAGTCCGTATGCATATATACTGCACTGGGTATGGTGAGATTATTGCACTCTCATGTGCAACTTTGCTGCATTTTGCAAGATATTTTGAATTTTAGACTTCATTTTCCATTCTCTGATATCGAGCCGAAAAATCTCTTGATCATTTTGACAGCCGAGATTCTCTCAGAATATCATACCTGTATATCAATAACTCAAAAGAAAAAAAGAAACGAAGTTTCTGAAGAAATGAGTTTATTTAAAAACATTAGTAATAAAGAATGTCACAAACAGAGTGACGAAAAGAAAGAATACAAAATGATCTGCTTCAACAGAAGCTTAAATACAGATAACAGGTGACGTCATGATCCACGCAAGAACGACCAACAGCAAATGAAAATAAACTGGCCGATCCCCGCAGACCATGACGTCACCGACGCAAGTTGAATGCATGAGATCGACGACGGAAAATCGAACCTCATACCTTTTAACTTCTATTATTTGTCTAACATGCGGCCCCCTCTCATGCCTTCAACTTTTACAAAAAAACACACATATACAGTTTATCAAAATCCTCAATAAACTAAAGAAATATTTAATTTCCTTAAACTAATACTTAAGCTGTTTCAGTCCTGAAACCACCCAAAAGATTAAACTTTCACAAATACTTTTGAACAGAAATTTTCCACTTCTAACTTGGTTAAAGGTTTTGTAAAAATGTCCGCTAAGTTAAATTTACTCCTAACGTGCTTAACAGCAAAAAATTTATCATAAATTAAATTTCTTAAAAAATGATACCTTACGTCGATGTGTTTCGTTCGACTATTTTCAATAGGTGAATGAGAAAAATCAATTGCAGATTGGTTGTCACTAAATATAATACAATCACTTAAATTTATGTCTTCTAAATTCAATTCTCTACACTCATCTATTATACGCTTGATCCATAGGCTAATGTAATCAAAAAAAAAAAGAGTTCTTTGTCAGAAACTAGTTATTTTATAATGATCAAGTTAAGTCTTTTAAAATTATTTTGCATTTTGTTAATTTATATAGTGCTTTAAAAGTACTTAAAAGGTGCTTATTTTTTCTTGAAAGATTTGGCTACGCGTCTTGTTTAATAATTCTTATGTTTATGTTCAATTAATTGCTGCAAAGGCCAGGATAGCCCGGTTGGTAGGGCATTGGGCCCATCTCCAAGAGTTTGTGGGTTCGATTCTCGCCGGCCGTAGGCTCCCCGTGTAGTAAATGGTGACTGATGCACATTAAATCTGTTGAGTCGCAAAGTCCTCCATGTTCCCATAACAAATCAATACCTCTGGGGGTTCTGATCCAGTAGTTTCCCTGTCTTCTGGATTGTTTCAAAATTACAAGGCTATGGAGTTGAATATTAGTAGTCGTAAGTCCAAAATTGGGTCGGCTGTTCAACGATGGATAAAATAAAAATATAAAATTAATCTTGCTTCCTTCCTTATTCATTGATATTTTTTGCTCACAAACTCTAATATTTGACATAACAAGTAAAAAAATGAAATTTCATTGGATTTTCATTGAAAGTTTCTTGAAACACCTGGAAAAGTCAGGGAATAGTTTTTTTTTCCTGAAATTAAGTAGGAACCGTGTGTCATTTTCAAATATATGGTAACTTTGCATGCTAAATCTAAAATTTTAGATATTTTTCATTAAAAAAAATGTTTTCCTGTATCAGTGTTTGAAAATGCATTTTATTTTTCAGAGTTTTTTATCAAGGATCTGAAAAAAGTTTGGTTATGGATTTATTTTGGCCAACAAACTATTCCAATTTAATTGCTGACAAAAATCCCAGACAGCTTTTAAAGTGGATAAATGAAATCTATCTACACAGTGGTCGCATATCTAAGGTTTGTGTTATATTTACTCTTAGGTTAAACATTAAATTTTTGAATATTTTAGCTAGGGAACAGCGATGGCTCAGGGGACGGCTCAATGCTGAACAATGCTCAACGCCATAATCTTGAGGTTGGTCACGAAATTCTAGAGCATCAACCCCTAAAAGAAATATTTTGCTGTTGTAGTTTAAAGACCCAAGTATAATTAGAGAAATGAGAAATAAAGAAAAATTATTTTTCTATTTCAGAAAAGAAACTTGCATTTAATATTTATTAAGAACTGTTTTACATTATTAATATCGATATCCCCTGAGTTGTGGTGGCTCAAGGGATAGAGCGCTCGCCTCCCAATGAGGTAGCACAGGTTTGAAAACCAGTGTTGGCTGGTCGATACAAACTCTGCACCCGGCTTGCACCGACCACAGTGCTGACAAGGTAGACGGATCATGGGTTATAGTCCCCTTCCTGTCAGGATAATTGTGGGAGGTTTTCCTCCATGTAAATGCAAATACGGGTTAGTTTCATTAAACAGGGTAGCCACCTACCTTGAAAACCTGGAATTATCAGGGAATTTTTTTATACTGGAAAAAATCAGGGAAATTTGGATAAAACCCTGAAAGAATAAGGGAATTTTAAAGAAAAGCTGGAAATTTTTTCTTTGGTAATTTTTTTAATTTCACTAATTTAAATTATTTACTAATTTTCTTAATTTAAATTATTTCATCCATTATACCCACTTTTTTTAGACGGAAATGTATCTCCAAACAATATCATCAACTTAGCGATACTTTGCTTGCATCAAAATTTGCTCCATTACAGCTCTGTTAAACTAGAATGCCACATAAAATTCTTCCACAGTTGCTGAACGAATGTAGAAACCTTTGACCGCTATGGGACTGTGCAGTTTAGGAAAGATTGTGGTGGAGGTTGAAGAAGATATTAGGATATTAGCTTCTGTTTTTAAAATCTGTTTCTAGGCTGAATCTATTTATGGCTCAAGTTTGTTCCGATGCTTTCGTGGTAATTTTTTTCCATGTTGATGAAATGCTTTTGTATTTTTAACTTTTTAAAATTCTCCAAAGATTAGGTGATTATAATTTAATAATAATAGATTTTATATTGCACTCTTTTTCTGAAAGCTTTTGTATTCCCATTCAAAGAAATCTGTGAATTATTTTTCCTCAGCAAACCAACCAATCACGCATTCCCCCCCATCACTAACAGAAATGTTTGTCGACAAATTGTTACAATTGTTGCATTAATGCTAATTTTTTCTATTTCATTTTAACCTTTTATAACATATTTTAATTTTTTTTTTTAAAAAAGGATTTTTTTTAAGAATTAACTATATTTAATTTTGCTCTTTTGTTGGTCAATATATGATTTTTGATTCAAAATTTTGCACTAACACATTAAAAAATAAATTTAAAAAATCTTGCTAAATTGTCAAAATATATTATTTTTTTCAAGATGATATGTTAAAAAAATACTAATAGTATCTTGCAGAAAAATATTAGTGCTAGAGAGGTTTGTCGCAGAAAGTCCAAAAAATTCTGCTACAGGGATATTAAGTATTACTAACACATTTAAGATCTTTGATTAAAAAATGTGAGGAAATAAAAAAATAACTGCTTCAAGTAAAACAAAATTAGATTTTTTTTTTACTAACAGAACAGGAATTTTACCTAACCTAATTTCAACTTAAGGTAAAACCCAACTTTAAAAACATGCACCAAAATCTGTTATCCCTCAAAAAAAAAGTTTCATTGCAAGCAATATTATTAAAAAGGATATTGCTTGTAAAGTATTATTATTTAAATGCAAACCAGTTGTAACAAACAATTTAAATATTGAGTTAATGCTCTTCCATCTTTATGTTGTAACTTTTTTGATAATGATAAATTTACTTTTAATTGAAGTTATTTTTATTATTTCAAATGTTTGCATTTCTATATGTTCACAATTTATTTTCTATGTTTTCATATTTTTCTAAAAAATATTTTTTTCTTTCTTAGTTATTATTATTTTTTTTTATTGCAACAGTGTATTTGCAACACTTGTTTTGGCATTAGCATTTTCATGAATCACTTCTTTTTTTCTTGAAAATATTCATTTTGTCGTACGACATAATTTGTTTCTTAGCATGATTTCGATGTTAAGTTTAAGCAATTTTAAAATGTGAAGCGTACTGAAATTAATTTACTTATAGCATTAAAAAATGAGAAAACTTTCATTTGTATTAACAAAAGTTTAATCAATGTCATTAAAAAGAAAATTTAAAAGTAGAAAAAATATTCATAGTAGATAAATAAGAGTACATAAAGAGTCCCAACAAGGTTTCTGCAGTCCTTGAAAATTTTTAGTAGTGGTAATAAATTTAGGTTAATGCTAGAATATATTTCTTATTTTAATTTACAACTTTATCGTTAAGCGGTTTAGCAAGGTTGAATTTTCATGCACCTTCTTAGGAAAACAATTTTTAGTTGTGGTTACACAGAAATTAAAATATCGAAATTTTATTTATATATATATACACAATTGAACCTGTTTATCTCAAAATTTCTATAATTCCCTACATTTACTGTCTAAAATCAATGTATTTTCCTTGCTTATGTCGAATTTTTTTCCTTCAAAACCTCCGTTTCTCGAATTTCTAATAATCGAGCACAAATATCAAAACTTTCTTTATCTGTAGAACTCGTAGACAGAGATAAATTTCGTGAATCCACAGGAAGTAAGGATAAATAGGTAGGGAGTGTTTCTTGGAATTTCAGTCACTATCCTTGCACTTCCTTAACTAGAAAGGAATACGATGATTCTGGCAGTAAGTGAGGGGTTAATGAGTAGTGACCATCAGGGGTTAGCTTTTCAACATAGATAAGAAAGCTATAAAAAACAGTTGGTACACAAACTTGTAGATGCCATTGATGAAACAAGTTAGATGCTATCGGATTTACTGTTTTGCCTGGAGAAATGTGTCTCTAAAAACGACAAAAGGGTTTTAAAAAGCTGGTTTTAAGAATAGCTGTGAAGATGATAAATAAGAGGATGAAGGCATCAGTAAAGAAGAAGAAAATGTTAATGCTGAAAATGCAGTGCCAGATTTCCCAGAATGGAATGCAATAAATTAATTGACATTAATTTTGATGATGTTTACAAGTGGGCAACTGCCTGGCAACATGCAGAACATTGACAGATGCGGACATCATAGATAATACCAAAGGAATATCAGATGAAGAGGAAGAAGCTGAAGATCATATTGATGAATCAAAAGTGAATGCAAAAGAAGTAGAAAAATCTGTGGAATTCTTATAAACTACTATTGAATCCCAGGAAAATATTGGCTATGAGGAATTGGCAATCTTTCTAACCTGAAAAGAATAATCGAAACAAATAAGGTTATACTTCAAAAATCTTCGAAAAATTATTTTCAGTGTTTAATGTATGTTAAAAAACTTATGTAAATAGATGTATGTGGTATAATTAATTTAAAGAAATGTCTGTATTTTTCTACTAAAAACAATTAAAGCACTTTTAATAGAATTTCTTATTTAAAATTAGTTCCCGTGTAACTCGAAACCTCTTTATCTCTAATTTTTCGCCTTTCCTGTGACATTCGAGATAAACAGGTTCGACTGTATAAATAATATTCAAATAATAGTATTGACATTTTTTAATAAATGCTTATTTTTGTTGACTTGAATTTTGAATAATTGTAATAATTTTTATCTTTTATTTTCTGCATCAGCTTTCACTTTTATTAAATTCTTACTATTAGTTCTCTATCTGGTTCAAATTTTTAATCGTTAATAAAATACTTTTTTATTCATCCACTCAAGTTCAAATAAATTTTTTTTAAATTTGTAGTGCATGACGTTAATACAGTTTTTTTCCAATTCCAAATATTAATTCATTCGTTAAATAAGAATGAGCGAAGAACGAAATGAAATTTTTTGATTGGTTAAGCGTTACTCATGGTTTTAAATTTTACTGTAAGGGATTCAGATTTTAAAGATAAACATCAGTTATAATTTCTAACTTATAGCTCAATTTGAACAAAAAATATAGTTTATTGCACACATTTAAATATTAAATTATTTTATATTCGCTGCGTCAGATGAATTCAATAAAGAACATTACGTGGTAGCACGTGTGGTCCATGTCACCCAATTTATACTTTTATAGTTGTCAGATACCAAAAAGCCTTTTTTTTTTTTCAATTCCTACTATTAGTTCACACTCTCCCGATATATATTTATATATCTTGTTCAAATTTTCAATAATTAATGAAATAATTTTTATTCATTCACTCAAGTTCAATGTTAATACAGTTTTTTTCAAATATTAATTTATTAATTAAATTTAATTAATTTATTTTAGATTGGATTTAGAATTAAAATTAGTGAAAAATTATTTAATAAAAAGTAACTAAAATAAAAATTTTCTTCGTAGACCTAAGTAGGAATTAAATTTTTTCTGTATTACTTGTTGTAGTAATGTTCTTGTAAAGTTAAATACAAATAGAAGATTTAACTTTGCACCTAACAAAATCTACAGTTTGTTATTCACTTCAAAAAATTTTAAGTAAAATATTTTTTAGAAATCTATCATTTTTTCCTACTGTGGTAAAAAATCTTGACCTCTTACACTCATAAAAAAAAATTTTTTTCTTCTAATTCTTTCTTTTCTTGATTTTAATTCCAAATTTTTTCAGTTGTAATTTTTTTAATGTTCTTAAATAAAATTTGATAATAAGGGGATTTTAGTGCCTTACATAAGCATCGCTCATTTTCCTCATATTCCCTAGATTGCTTAATTATAAGTAAATCTCAATCCCCTTGTGTAATATTTGAATTTATGTAATATTTAGGTACTTATGTAATATTTGAACGCCCCTTATATGTGGTAATTAAAGTTTTTGTTCCTAATTTGAAATATTTTTTTTTACAGATTAGTGCCTTTCATAGTCTGCATAAATTGCTAAATCTGATGATACAGTGTATTGTTCATTTAGAATACAGCTCAGATAAAACGGAGACTTCAAACATTAAAGCAGATAGTTTGATTTGTCACAGTCCTTGTATATTCGAGATTGTGAAGGTCATTTTTAACATTTGTAAAGGTATTGCAAAAAGTCCTAGTTTCTATTTATTTTTTTAGAGTAGTGATTCTCAACCTTTTCTTTGTTGCAGCACACTTTTAACGAAATTTCAAAATCGATTTATCAGCGGATTTTTTTGGAAACTGTGTAAAATAGTTTATGATAATAATTTTGAATCTGATATAAAATAATTTGTACTGACAAGGATTTGTCCAGGCCACATTTACTACCGTTTAACGGCACTTTCACAAATTCAACTTTAGGAAATTTCACAAAAAACTTTTTCTTAAAATTTTATTTTTGTATCCCGTAAGAAACGATTAATCCATATTTTTGTGTTGATTTTTTAATATAATTTTTAGTTTTCGCAACTTATGTCTAAATTTTCGCAAAATTGGTACCTCTCAGAAAACTTAAAAACCTGACTAAAAACACAACAGTACGTTTATTAAAGGATTAATTACAAGTTAATTGCTATTTTTTTAATTTTATCATTATTATTATTTTTTTTTGCTTTTTATTAACTGTTAGTTTGTTTCTATACTTATTAATTGTTAGTTTTTTTACATTAATTGTTATTTTTTGTGATTTCTTAACTTGTTTATATGATAATTATTAATTGTTAGCTTGTTTTTTTCTTTCTAAAATTTGGTGGCATACTTTAAGAATTTGAGGGCACGCAAAAGTGCTGCGGTGCAGTGGTCATTGTTCTAGAGTATGCTACTTAATTATATGTTATTACTAAGGGGCTGTACCCTCTGCTTGTTTTTGCTAATAAATGCATTGTTAAATAGATAAACAGTTCTGTTATTGACTGTTGGCTATAAATAGATTATGAAATTAATGCAGAAAATTATAGAATTATAAAATCCAAGTAGGTTTTAATAAATTAACATGGATTTGATTTTACAATCTACAGTGTTAGTTACTGATATTATTGGAATAAAATTTTAAACTCATTTTTCTGCTCAGTTAGTATTTTAACTTCATTCACAAACTTGATTTTGAAAATCTTATTTCATTTTGTTGCTATAAAAATCTTGTTAAATATTTTTTTTAGCTACGAGATTATTTAGTAATAATGCAAAATGTAATTCTTAATATTGCCACAGATTCATATTCATTTATATCATGTATTTAGTGAACAGTTTTGTATCAAATTAATTATAAAAGTAAATGTAACTAACTAAATGGTAAATATTGCTTATTTACTCATTGTAAAATGATAACTAGTTGTTTTTGTCATAGAATGATGCATAATAAGGTAATATGTAATTACTTTATACCCTAATAAAGATTGTTAGTTTTCAACCTTCAATTCTGAATAAGGCTCAAAATCAAAAATTTCTGACCATTACAAAATTTTTTCTCAAATATTTCTAATTATGGAAAAAGACATGTGCCCACTGTCTTTCAAAGTCCACTTCTCTCGTAAATTTGGCTCATTTCCCTGAAGTTACAACAAATATATTCTGTTCCAAAATTCATAACTTGATTGATCACAAAACTTTTTCAGGGTTTCCACTCCACAGGGAAAACCTGGAAAATACAGGGAATTAAGAAATCATCTTAAATAACAGGGAATTTTGAATTTTTTCTTATAAACAGAGAATATTTATTTCTTATTTTACAAAATGTTGGCCTCTCAAAGTGTGAATTATGAGTTATTTAAAGAGAACTCAGCTATACTATACTATTTCATTTGCTGTATTATTTTTTTTTTTATGTATGTTGAACTATTTTTGATTTCTCTAAGTTTTTCCAGCAATTAAAACTAGTGTTAGTTATCCTGATATAGCACATACACTTGCATAGTGATTTTGTGTTTCCTCTTAATATATTGTATATATTATATACAGGAAACTTTTTTTTCCAGACTTGAGTGGCAACCCTTTTTTAAAGAATTTCCATTAAAAAAATTATTATAATTTTTGAAAATAATAAGTGTTATCATCAGTTTACTAGTACAACAGTTCTATGATTGCCAATCTGACAAAAGTAAAAATCAAATGTTTCGAACCTATTTCATACTCTCGTTTCAATTAAACACATATAAATACGCAAGCAAAACATGATTTGTTTTACAAATTTGAATAATGTAGCACCCTATGGCAGAAACATGGCAACATTGTCTCAGAACGTTACACAGCTCTTGCAGAAAGATTTTTCTTTAAAAATGTAAAAAAAAGAACTTTAGTTTTCTACACGTAATATTTGAATCATGCATTTAGATAATCACTTTTTGATGTGCTCAATTTGCACCGATAGTATGGTAAGTCAATGTAATGTTTTGATTGTATATTATTGGTTTTATTATTAATGATTTTCATGTGTATTTTAAATATCCTGACATATTTCAAAGAATATGGAAAATTTGAATCGTGCATTTGAGTATTTACTTTTTGAAGCAATGATTCTATGGAATTTTCGACAGTTATCGCCGTTGATTTCTCCATAGTTTTTAAATCCAATATTTTAGATATGATATTATTTATTACAACAACTTAATCTCCAAACATATCAAGCTTCCCAGAAATCCGTTTCGGGCGATTTCGTCGTCAATCTATTTTTCAGCGATTACTGCTACGGATTTCATGATTTTTTAATTATTTTTTTGTTGTGATGATTATTTACAAAATGCGAAGAAGGAAATAATTTGTGCATCCCCCCCGCAACAAAATATGAGAATATCACCCATAATATTAGAATAAAAAATTATTACATGTTCTATTTAAAAAAAAATTATAATTTTTTGTATTGTTAACACAGCACTTTTGATATTTTAAATTAGTAACATATATGTTTGTTATTATTTAAAGTATCTTGCAGAACAATAACAGTGCTAGATACAGGGTGAGTAGCGTTTTTAGAAAGTGCTTATGTTTAATTTACATTTTTTGAAAGCTTTTAAGGTGCTTTTTTATTCCGGGTTTATAAAAAGTGCTTTATTTTCTATCTTTAAAAAAAGTTTTTTTTTTGCCGTATTGATTGTTGCTCTAAATTACGAAAAATGCATGATTTTCATAATTTTCTCTGCAATATTTCTCAGAAACTAGTTATTTTAGTGTGATTATGTTAAGTTTTTGAAAATATTTTTGAATTTATTGATTTTTTTGTTTATAAACTAAGAACTTTAAATGATAGAAAAAGTAATTTTTATTACTGCACAGATCCTAATTATGATTTTTTTTTTGGAAAGTGATTAAAAATATGTTTTGAGTGCTTAAAATGTACTTAGAAGATGCTTATGTTTTGTTGAAAAATCTAGCTACGCACCCTGTAGAGAGTTTTGTTGCAGATAGCTTGAAAAAATTCAGCCACAGGGATGTAGGACATCAAATATAAAAAATTATTTCAGTTAAAACATTTTATAAAGAAGTTATTTCAATTATTCAGTTTTAGTTTTTGTCATGTTGGATATACTTGGCATTAATGGCAGTGATAGGGCGCAAACATATTGCAAAATTCACTTGACTTAGAACTCTTTGAATGTGAGTTTCTAGTTCAGCAGTAGTTTTGGAGTTATTTCAAGGGTAAGAGATAAAGTGATCCTAATTTATGATTTGAGATGCTTATTACTCTTTAAGAGGGTGCATATTAATTTTAAAAAGTACTTAAAGGTGCTTTTTTCATTGGGTGTTTTTAAAAAGCCCTTAATGTTCCTTTTTTCAAAATGAAATATTTTTTATCATGTCGGTTTTTGCCATGAATTATGCAAAAAGCTTTCGTTTCACACTATTTCATTCAATGTTTTCGCAATTCCTCCAACCACAATAATATTAGGATGTGTGCACTAATAAAAAAAATTTCTTCCTATTATTGAAAATTCATATATATAACTGTGTGNTAGATATGTATGTATATATATATATATGTATGTATATATATATATATATATATGTATGTATATATATATAGTGCTCCGCACACTATTATATTGATATATTTTGCTTTGGCTATATTGATACAATATTAGAAAGCACTCCTTTTTGCGGATATAATTGTGTGAGCTGATGAAAATATTATATGTTTTATTTTCTATATTTTTATAAAAAAAAAATTTCCTCTTTTTTCGAATTTTGATTGTTTTTAAATATTATTTTTCTTTTTTCCTTTTTTCATTGTTCTGTAATTTTTTCCATGTTTTCTCTATATTTTGAGTTTTCTCTTGATGAGTTATCATATATATATGATCTTTTAATAATAGAAAAAAAATGTTTTATTAGAGCATATATCCTCCGTATCATGATCTGTGGAAGAATAAAATCCAAATCTTAGCAAGTCAGCTTCCCTTGAGAAACTTTAAAAAAAAAAATCACAGAGAGACCAATTTGAAAGGTATGACCCCTAGCTATCCCCAAGCAAACATCTACATGTTTTATTAAAAAAAAAATATTTGCAATCTTAAAATCTATTCGGCACCTTGGCGATTGTAGTTGGCGTGACAGATCACGATATGGAAATATCCCCTTATGTATTTTTATTTCAAAATAAAGAGTTTAAGAATTAGAATTCTAATTTTGATTTTCTTAATTTGTTTCAGAAGTTTTCAATAGTCTGAATAGTTTTAAGCACTTCTTACATCATTTATCATCAAAGCCTGTACAGTTCAAAGTATGCGAGTACACGCTGTATGAACTTCTTAACTCTAGTCAACCATCTGTTCGTAAACTTCCTCAGTGTACATTACAAACCATAGTATGTGTGCTTTTTTTAAATTAATATTTAAAATCGTTTAAAGTAAGGTAAAATTACATTTGTGATTTATGCTTACTTGAATATTATTCATTATCTGTTTATAGGTGACCGTCTATATGTTCCCAAATAAACTGTCGACTGGAAAAAAGGGCAGACCAAAAAAGCAAACAATAAATGATTTGTGAGTAATTTTTTTCTTCTTCTTCTTGGACACTACAGTCTATGACAGGCCAAGGCCGTCCCAATAAGTTTTTGCCATTTTGATCTATTCTGCGCCATGGCCTTCCAGTTAGTTATTCCTATTATCTTTAGATCCCTCTCAACTGCATCCAGCCACCTAGTCGGTGGACAACCCCTCTTTCTTGTACCTTCTGGTTTTTAAAAAAAGTTACTTTTTTTTAATTAATTAGTAATTTTTTAGATAACTATTTCTTAGAAAGTGGTATTTTCTGTTTTTTGTTTATTTATGCTACTCTGCAGTACTGAAGAAATTAAGTTCAAATAATTATAAGTTTTTGCTGTTTACACTTCTAAAGCTTAAGTTGCTACTCCAAAAGCAATAATTGTATTAGGTTGATTTAAAAAAAAAACTGCGTTTTTTTTTCTGCAAGAGACAGAGTTGAGAGTACAGTCGTTGTGTTGTGCAAATTTATAATCGTTGTGCAATAGTATAGTCGTTGTGTTGTGCAAATTTTTGTCATTTTTGAGAAAATGCTGGTAAATGTTAGTACATTTGAATTTGCCAGTCGCTTTATATATTACAATTTTAGTTTTTTATTCTGTTTTTTCTTGATTTTTATTTTCTATTTTTTGCTTGTTAATTTTATTTTACATTTTTTGTTCTATTTCATATTGTATTGGCATATTTTGCTTTGGCTATATTAATGCAATATTAGAAATCGCTTTTTTCGGATATAATCGTGTGGGCTGATGATGAGATTGCATCTTTTTATTATTTTTTTTCCTTTCTTTTTTTTTAATTTTTGAATATTTTTTAAAGAAAATTTTTTATAATTTTTTTTTACTTTAAAATTTTTTCTTCATATTTTTCCATGTTTTCTCTATATGAGAGAAGGTACAGATAATGTTTTATTTTTATATTTTATATCCATCTTTGAACAGCCAACCCAGTTTTTGGGTTTACGACTACTAATGTTCAGCTCCGTAGCCTTGTATAATTTTGAATCAATCCAGAAAACAAGAAAACTCCTGAATCAGCGGGTCCGTTAACGGACCCTTCGCAAAATATTTTAACTTAAAAATGGACCTTTCACAAAATAATTTATCTTTTAATCGGACCGTTCACAAATTTGTTTATCTTCATTATTGTTTTGTTAATGGAATAAACCCTTCCCAGGGAAAAAAAAGAGAAACAGATGTAAATGAACTAAGTTTTGTCTTCGGCAGACGCTTCTTTCTTTATTCGTCCGAAATAAATATTCGGTGCTCAGCAGTATAGGCTAAATACCAAATATTTGTATGTTGCATCTCTAATTTAGTAGCAGCAATTGCTGTTTATTTTTTTAAAAATCTCAAAACTANTCATTGTCATCATTAGTCAAACCACAGTAATTTTTGTAATTTTTCCCTCTTTGCAGGGCAGGTAGTGGATTAGCTTTACATAGATCCTCGCATTTGAGTTTATCTCAATGATATGAAAATGCATGTTGCCTTAAACAGGAGTCTGACTAGAAGAAATTTGGGTCCGTTAACGGACCCTTCGCAAAATATTTTAACTTAAAAATGGACCTTTCACAAAATAAGTTATCCTTTAATCGGACCGTTCACAAATTTGTTTATCTTCATTATTGTTTTGTTAATTGAATAAACCCTTCCCAGGGGAAAAAAGAGAAACAGATGTAAACGAACTAAGTTTTGTCTTCGGCAGACGCTTCTTTCTTTATTCGTCTGAAATAAATATTCCGCGTTCAGCGGTATAGGCTAAATACCAAATATTTGTATGTTGCATCTCTAATTTAGTAGCAGCAATTGCTGTTTATTTTTGAAAATAAAATTTTTTTTAATTATAATTTTATAGTTTTGAGCATAATCTTGTATATACAGTAAAACCCCGCTTTAGTGAACTTTCAAGGGACTGAAGTGTCGGTTCACTATAACCGGGAGTTCACTATATCCATTATGCGGGCAATTTAACTAATGGTTCCTTAACTCCTCCCTTTTATTACACATTATTCAAATAAATGACTGAAAAATATTATGTACAGTAGGGAACCGATTATCCGGAACGATCGGGACCATTGCTATTCCGGATAACTGATTTTTCCGGTTTTCTGAACCGCTACAAAAAGCCGTTTTTTTATTGTCAAACTCAACTAAAAAAAAAAAATATTTGGAAATAATCTTAAAAAGAAGAAAAAACAATGAATTAATGCACTAATGATAATTTCCAAAATAATGGTAAGTTAACATCTTTCAAAAAAGAAAGAAAAATCCTGAAATCTTATGAGGAAAAAAAAATTTTCTTAAGAAAAATGGCGAGAAAATTTATCGAATTTCGTTCCGGTTTTTTGGTTTTCCGTTTTTCTGATTTCCGGATAACGGGTTCTGTACTGTAGTAGCAAAAAATGTGTTTTTTTTCCATAACTCTTCGTCTTGCATACTAAAAAATTAGTAATCTTTAGCTGATGAGCAATCCTCACCATCAGAAACACTTCCCGACTCTCAGATAATTTTTCCTGAATTTCTGTTATTCCGCTTTTTAAACCTGTCTAACCTGCCATTCGAGCACATAAAAGTAGTCTCATAAAATCGCTTAGCAAATTCTTCGACATTTGCCAGATACTGGAAGATTGCGGCTTCTTCGATTGGTGAACCACTTCAACAATGTTTCTTCATTATCTTTGTGATCTGCTTTTCTCAACTTTTTTCCACCATCTAAATCTTTTTCATGAGCAGAAATTATTAATGGCCTATTTTTCCATATATTACAAACTGCAGATTTGGATAGTTTATATTCCCTGCAAATATCAGCTTGATTGCATCCATTTTAAATTTTTCTGATTATGCTCATTTTGTCATCAATGGAGGACGTTTTACGTTTACTGCTAGCCATAGTTAAATTTGAGACACTTGTTTGCAGGATTTATTTTAACTGAACTGAGAGCAAAAAGGAGTTGAAATGAGGGCTTTATCAACACATATTAGTGTCCAACTCTTTGACTGATAATAAATAATTACTCATTCCCTCTGAGAAAAATGCATATTGATTACGCTGACACCTTACAGGTGCATCGTCTGCCTGGGTTGGAAACATCTGCTTGGTTTGTTTAGGGATGGGAAAGTGAGATAAAAGAAGCAAACAAGAAAAAATACTTATCACTACTTTCCCCTCTATAGATGGTTTTGAAAATCGGTTTATGTATTTAATTTGAAGTAGAAATTTCAAATTAATAAAAAAAATTTTTTTTTAAAAATCAGTCGAAGACAGAAAAAAGTTCACTATATCCACAAAAAATAACATCCGTCAGAGGACAGAACATTTCGTTCACTATATCCGGGAGTTCAGCGGGGTTTGACTGTATTTACAATTTAAAAACTCCTTGAAAAAGTTTTTTGCAATAACAGGACCCTATTTGCACAAATTCACAAAAGCAGGACCCTGGTTGAAAGAATGAGACTTAAAGTTTATTTTATATTCACAAATTATGAGTAATTTTTTCGCAATTTTACAAAAACTGACCTTTCACAAAATGTGTGGACAGACCTCTGCTAAAGTAAAAACTCCCCTAGTCATAAAAGAGTATATTTTTCTTCCATCTATTGTGTTATTTCTGGAGGGAAGGAATCTACCCTCCCTGAAATGCACTATTCTTGTTTCTATAGCAGCAGACGGCTTTGTAGTGGAAGAAGTTCTTACAGTAGACAAACTATATAAAATTAGTTAAGTGGAATTTTTAATTATCTAAGTGTTTTATAACTTCCTTATCCCTATAGGTCACCAGAAGATGAGAGCAGAGAAAATGAACAGGCTGCACCAACCCATAATGATGGTAAGTTTTTTATCAAATTTTGGAGTTGTAACTAACAAAAATGTTGTAAATATTTAATTTTATTTTCCATTTATGCTTCTGGATTCTAAAAAAATAGCCTTTCCTTGTAAGTAGATGATCATTTTATTCTTATTTAAACGTGAGATTATTTTTCAAATTCTCAACACCTTTATTGCAGTTTATAAAATAATGTTTCTTTTAAACTGTTTTAATGTCTCAAGAAATTAAATTGCATAGTTGTGTGTGTGTGGGGGGGGGATATATGTCTTTTAAAAAAAATTAGATTATATGGTTCAAGAAATTTCACTCCACTTAGTGTTTATTCTGGTTATTATTATTTTTTTCTTGCAAGTTACCAGTGTTTCAGTTTTTCACTAAAAAGTTGTTTTAGAAAGTTTTTTTTAAGGAGAAGTAAATCAAAACACCATAAAATAAAATTCTAATAAAACCTGTCAATGAAATTAAAAAAAAAAGTAATATTACCATCTACCAAATTCATTTTCTTACATATAAATACTTTAATGGGCACTGCATGTTTCCCATTTTTTAAAAAATGGTTTGTTTCGTAATTTTTATGAAAATTGCTTTAATTTTTTGATGTTATGCACTGTAATGAATTTTTTTATATATATAAAAAAATAGAATTTTAGCCAATTTTTTCATAAATAAAACATTTTACACAAAATTTTAGTTATCTTTCGTCAAACATGTGATATGCAAATCTGGTTAACCTCTTACAGTTTTTTTATAGTTTATTAGTTTCATAACTGAATTATTTAGGCTTTTTTATACTAGTACATTTTTCTATTTATATTTTATAAATGACGACTTTTTTACTCGAAAAAATTATGTTCCCAATCAGTGACTATGGAAATATCTCAAAAGTGGGGCTCTGCTCCCTGGATAGATATATATATACCATTCTTGGTAACTAACAAATCAAACACACTTCAGTACTGCATTAAGAACGTGCTATAAAACAAAAACCCTCTGTTTACGCTTTCACCTAAATTTGTATTTCTGTTTTCATATTTTGTAATCTGGCAATCTTGTTATGAAAATTTTCCCGTTCATTTAAGTTCATTTGAATTTGCTACTCGCTTTATGCATTTCGTTTTATGTTTTGTTCTGTTTTTTCTTTACATTTTCTTTTCTGTTTTTTGCGTCATATTTATTACTTTATGTGCTCTATTCTATTTTGTTTGTAAAAAAAATTTTTCAGTGCTCCTCACACTATTTTGTTGATATATTTTGCCTTGGCTATATTGATACAATATTATACAGCACTCCTTTTTGCGGATATAATCGTGTGAGCTGATGAAGAAATTATATCATCTTTTTTATCTATCTATCTATCCATCTATATAGATCGATTATTAACAGAGTTCGAATTATCTGAACCTCACCAAATGGATTAACTGTTAATTTAATTACACAAATTTCGAATGAAAGAAAAACAATGTTAGAAGGATCCCTCACTTATACAGCACGTAGATTAACAAAGTGCCGCATTCCTATTTAGTCATGTTAGCTGCAAATATGATAATGTTTATCTAAACATTAGTGTCTTAAGCACCAAATATTTTTTATCAAAGCACCAGATATTTTTATAAATAAACTTTATAACATATTTTCAGAAGATTAAATACTTTCAATTATTTGTTTTTATTTAAACTAAAAAAACTGTTGCATTTGTTTAAAATTTTTCCATTTTTCACAATAATTAATTTATCAAATATATATATATTTATATATATACACAAATATTAGAAGGGGGATATAAATTCTAATCGGAAAGAAGCTTACGGAATGAAAGTGCAATGAAATATGCATTTTATGGAGCAATATGAATTTGAATTAGACATTTTATTAAAAGAAAATTTACAATGTTTAAATAAAAACCAAATGAAAACAAATTTTTTATTGCGTTCAAAAGTTTCCACGGGTTTAAAAAATTGATAAAAAAAGGTGCTTGGTATCAGTCAACTATAAAAGTAATAAGTATAAATTTGGTGACGTGGACCAAATTTTTCTCTTAAAATCAGGGAAGATTACATTTTTTAATAAAAAAAAGAAACCCTGGAAAACTTCCTTATTTTACCTGGAAAATAGCCAGTCTTAGAATTGCTGGTAACAGTAATCAGTTATTGAGATTCGAGTAAAATAATTCTAACATTTTTGATATTTATTTTATGAAATTTCAAAAAAATCAAAGTTTTCTGTTGAAAAACTGCATGTTATCCATAAAATATGGTATGAATTTCCATTAAAATTTATCCGACATACTGGAAATAGTCAGGGAATTTTTTCTTCTTCTGAAATTGAGTGTGAACCCTATTTAAATTTTGAACATTTTGAATTGACGAGGTCAATACTAACTATTTTGACTGCAGTTTTTTTTACAAAACATATTTTAAATACATAGATGTGCATTTAGGAAGATGCATTTAGATTTTTCTCCAATGCTTGAATGATTTTATTAATTCTTTTTCACAACATGAGCAGAAAAAAAATCTAACTAAAATTGTAATCTTTAAATATTTTTATTTTAATTATTATTTTTAATTCATGCAATTCTACTTGGCTGTTTGGATTTTTGAACTTCTAATTTTGGGATCAACCTAGTGGTGATGGATATTAATGTTTCTGAGTAGTAATTTTGGGATCAATCTAGTGGTGGTGGATATTAATGTTTTGTTTTCAAAAAAGAACTTCTGAGTAATATACAGACCCCTTATATTTTAGGTAAATTTGAGCTTCATGAGCTCATCAGGACAAATAGACCTGCAGATCTGTACATAAAATTGTGTTCTTCTGCAACTCTAGATGTCAATGAAAAAAATAATTTGGGCCAAACACCTTTACATGTGGCTTGCCTTTCTAGCTTAGAAAAGAATGTATGTTACAAAATATTAATTAACGAGTGTTCTTCAGGTAATTGTTCATCTTGCATGACTTTATTTACCCTTTTAGTCCCAATTATGTTAAAAATACTTTCCAATTTTGTTAAGTGTTTTTACTCTTGGCATATAACTATAACAAATTTGCTTTTACCGACGAAAAAAAATTGGGAACGTTGGTAACTTTTAACCAGACTAAATGTTGGGTCGAACATATAATCAAAATTGCTTCAACAGTGCAGAAACCCTTCATGACGAATTCGCTTTTATCTGTGTTCGTAATTTAAAGTTTGGAAAAAAATGAGTTCAGGCAAATCAAGAATAAACTAAGAAGTATGTAATGCTGAAAACAAATTTTCAAAATATTGTGGCGTAACTGCCGCTATAAATATTAAATACCTATTTACTAGTATATAAGACATGTTAACTTGATTCTATCTGGAGGTACCATTTGATAGATGAAGGTTGACATGGTCAATAATTATGTCCCCTTATTAGTGACCCGAACTTGATATGAACTAGCAAACATCACCCATATTAAACAGCTGATTTGCTTACCAAATAACGCTCAAAAATCCTTAATTCTGGTGATGTAAATATAATTCTCCCAGACAATAAATAATGAGCTATAAAAAGTAAACAAACAGCATTAATCAACTAGTGGTATTCGTTCATCAAATTCTATCACAGATAAAATTCTCGAAGGAGTGTTATGTGGCATTTATAGGTATTTAACTATTAATGTTAAATACCTATTCACTGGTATATAAGACATGTTATTTTATCTAGAGGTACAGGGTGTCTGCACACCTGGAAAGTCATGAATTTCGGTATTGAACAAAATTTGTNTTGTTGTTAGGGAGATATTACAACAGGTATGAAGTCGATATGGCACTTCCCCGCTGAAAAATCTAATTTTTAAAATGAAATTGACCTCTTCCCCAATTTCATGGTGTTCTGAATATCTGAATTAGTAGCAAAATCTACACTCACAGTCATATTTTATTAAAATATAAAATGTTTTCATCGTGTTCTTCAAAATTATGATGTTTTTCAAAAAATGAAAGAAAAAACATCGTTTCTAGAGGGAATTGTCTTTTAAACTTCTGTGATTTCAGAATTTTTGTTATTATTTATTTTTAACAATTTAAGATTCTAGCTAAAGCAGGCAAGTCATTGGCTATTTTTTTATTATTCCGAAATGAGAACAGAAAATTCAGGAGTTTTTCCTTCCTTTCCAATGAACGAGAAAAGTGTCTTTGGAATATAATTCGACAGAAAAAAAGAAAAGAATTCTTCAACTCTTTCTTTACTCCGCTTTTGAAATTTAAAATCCATAAGTATGAAGATGCAGAGTATAACAGTTTTGGTTATACCTATTATTTCAATTAATGCTTTTATAATGTTTTTTTAAATTTATTGTTGCTTTTTTGTTGGAGAAAATAATTTCGCTAAAATTCTTGGAATTAGTGATGGAAAGTCACGAATTTGAAAAATCTAAAGTGTACAGGTACCCTTATTTGATAGATGGAGGTTGACATGCTCGCTAATTACATCCCCACAATATCAAATTGACAAATTATGACTGCATTACACAATGGAGAAGTAATCATGCTATAATTTGTTTGCATTTTAATGTTTTGAAAGCATTTTATCTTTTGATTTGCCTAAACTTACTTTTCTCTAAACTTTAAATTTAAAAGTATGCTTTTAGACAAAAAAGCATTTGCCATGAAAAGTTTTTCAAATGCTATATTGCCTTCTTAAAACGCATAATTTAAAGCACTTATAAATCTCTCTGTGATGAGGGAAATATTTATACACATGTTTTGGAAAAAATAACCTCTTTTTTTTGCTAGTTGTAACTAATATGTGTATTTACTTTTACTTGATTAAATGTTTCTGGTTATATTAAAGGCAATTTTATATATTTATATATTTTTTTTAAAAATTATTTTAGAAAATTCCAAACATAGATTGAACTTTAGTGCAGTTGATGGCGAGGGCCAGACGAGTCTCCACATAGCTATGAAGGAAAACAAATGTAGCATCGCAAAAAGTATTTTAAAGCATGGCGGTAAGTAATTTTCTGTTGTTGGCTTATTATTTAGCCCTAGTCAAAATTCTTGATGGTCCATCAAAACATTTTGATGGTTTATGTTGGTTTCACTGTGATTCATGATGGTCCAACATCATTTGATGGTCACCATCATTCAACATATTCCATTATGCGTTCGTGTTTTTTGATATACCAACAAACTTTCTTCGTTCCATGATAGAAAATGCTACTTTAATTCCATAATGGTTAGCTGTCAAGAGAAGTTTCTCATGGACCAACAATCCATGATGGTTCCAACTATACATTTCCATGATGGTTTTATGGAAATTATTGCTGGCTCTCAGGAATATACTATCAAAACAATTTGATTTTTTTTTTATGTTAGCCCATCATAAATTATTCTGAATTCCTTCATTGGGATGATGGGTGTTCATGATCAAACCAACATTTGATTTCTAAGAAAATATGATGGAAATTTCTGATGGTTCAACATGAACAAACCATCAAAGCAGGTTGCTATTCTTATAATGGACCCTCATAAATCAGTCCAAATTCCTACATTGGGGTGATGGTTACTTATGTTGTTTAACATCAAAAAATATAATGATTCATGATGGAATTATTGATGGTAACTTATGTTGTTTAACATCAAAAAATATAATGATTCATGATAGAATTATTGATGGTTACCATCAAGATTATGTTGGTCCATCAATATAAAACCATCGAGAATTTTGATTTGGTTATGTTCTGTTTAATTAAAAAAAATGTTACTTTAGTCTTTTATTTTTTAAATATAAATTTAATCTTTTAAAAGAAAGTAAATATCAGGGTTGCCACACCACAGGGAAAACCTGGAAAATACAACAGGTAATTTTAATCAATCACCTAAAATAACAGGGAAGTTTGAGTTTTTTCTTGACAAACTGGGAATATACAGGGAATTTTATTTCTTATTTTTGTCTTTTAAAAGTGGTGACCACTCAAAACGCTATCTATGGGATATTTTAGCTATACTAAACTATTTTATTTACTATAGCATTATTTGTTTTAAGTAGGTTAAGCTGCTCCTTATTTCTTTAAGCTTTTCCAGCAATTAAAACTAGTATAGCTAAACTAATCTAAGTTACTCAAGAGCAGAGTTTCCTCTTAATATACATACAGGGCAAACACAGATTTGAATGACAATCCTGACTAGGCTTGCCAATATCTAGTAGCTACGAATCTGCATTTTACCCATAAAACGAAAGGTATTTAAAATCGGAACATACATTATAGAACAACCCCTGCAGAAACAATTTATGTTTCCATCTGAACATGTCAACTGATTTATGTCAAAGTTGGGATGAAAATTTTACATGCTGCCAATAATTTTTGTTTCCTTATCTTGGCATTCATACATAATTTGATATTTATTTCATAAAGATATCTCCTATTTTATTTATTTATTTTTATTTTGAAATTTCAATTTGCAGAATACATTGCTGCCAACTTAACTGGATTTTGCCAATTTCTCCTGGTCTACTGGTTTGATTAAAATTCTCGTTTTTGTACATTTTTGAAAATTCCCTAAAATTAAGTAATTTTCCTAAAAAAAAATCCCTATTGACATACAATTTTTGTAGAGATTATTACTTGCTTGCTTGCTTGAATATTTAATTAAGTATCACTAATGCATAATGAAGCGAACCTCATTTATAGAAATCAGTTCAAAAACTTTTTTTGTTCTAAAATGTTTTGTTTATTTTTATTCAGAACTCTCTTTTTGAATTAATTTTAAAAAAATCTTCTTACTATATTTGATGAATTAAATGCCTATTAATATGTGAAATTATGAGTAAACATAATACATAACATTTCAAGTATGTCTAATGTCATAACTGGAAAATATTGCAGTTTTTTTATTTTAATGACGATAAAAATCCCTAAAATTCCCTACTTTTAACATATTTATTACATTATCATGAAATTTATATTTTGTAATATCTACTGGATTTTTTCCAATCTATGTTGGCAACTATTAAAATGAGATTTTGTCATTTTACAACAATAGTAGTAGTCTTTATTAACAATAGTAATTCTGTCATTTTAAAACAATACTGATCTGAATTGTTTATTTTTCTCAATTGTTGCAGAATATTTGTGCAGTAGAAGATCTTTAACGCAAAGCTTGAAATATAAAGCTTTACATTATGTAGATCACTTACCACTGCAAAACAAGACAACTTATATCTGGAATTGATCGTTATTAATGCTTTATTAAAGTAATTTTTAAGAAGCGAATACTTAATTCAAAAATGGGCACATTGCACATTATTTGAAAGAAAGAAAAATTAAAGCTATTACAATCATTAGAAATAAAATCCTTCAAATTTACTATTTTGGTTTTTGTTTGGGATTGTAAGGTGAATGTAGTTTACAGAATTGTGTTATTTAGATTAATCCAATTTAATATATTTTTATTTTTTAGAAAAGTAAATTATTGACACTGTTACTTGAGGGGGTACATGCTTATATTATGATAAACTACTATTTTTAGGTCCCCAATTTTTTTTTTCAAAAAAAAATAATAAAAATAAAAATCCTTAATATTTGTTCTCTAGTTTTGTTATTTTTCTTATCATGCTACATTGATTTAATATTTAGTACTAAATTTTTAAACTATATTATTTATATGCAGTAGTTTTATTAAGATATCTAAGTTTGTTTTAGTTCATATGTATAGAGATGCTGATGAAAATAAACACTATGTTTACCTCACTTTTTCTTATAATTTTCCAAATGCTGAATGACTATTGAAATCAACAGAATTACTTTCTACGAATGAAAATTTACTTAAATGAGTGAAGTACAAGCTTTTTTTTAAAAATAATAATTTACAAATTATTACAAATAAAATAAAACTACATTGCTAGCTTATGGAAATAGGAATACACATTTTTAAAGTAAAAGATTAAAAGTGTTTATACTTCTGTGTAAAATTACATTTTTCGAACTCAATTCAGTCTGCACTTGTTATTCTATACTATAAAACAATCTCTGAAAAATTCAAATTTGAGTTTTTTTATACCTATTGGCCAAATGGGCATTGTTTTGGGTTTGGTGGCGTGCACACCTTATTTGGATGTCATCACACTTTTCACCTGTGTTCAAGAGTAATAGTAAACAGTGCATATGCCTCATCATTGCATGTGTTGCTGTGGCAACTGCTGTTGTTTTATAATTTTTTTAGAATTCTTTTTTTCATTTTTACATTCTTTTTATTATTAACTTATAATTAATGTCTTGACAGTGATTTTAATAGTTGTAAGCATCAAAAAATCAGTCTAACAAAAGCAGACTAATTTTGAAACTTTCTTAATTTATTTTTTTCCAGACAAGTTTTTTCTTTTTCTTTGCACCTGAAGTCATTTTTAATGTGTTTACATAATAATAATTTAAAGGATTTTTATATTCTTTTCATTATTAACTTATAATTACTGTCTTGACGGTGATTTTAATATAAATATGAATACTGAAGACGGAAAAATATTTAATCTCGTCTTGAAACACGTATATGGGCAGAATTTGAAAACTTATCCGACGACAAGAGGACAAACATCAATAGAGACAGTTTTTGCAACCTGTAATTTTAAATGTTGTGGCGTTTAAAGGAGTCCAGAAGTTTCAATCCAAAAAGGAAAAAGCATTTGACCAATGGGTAACCAGTGATTGTAATAAGGCGATCACAACTTTTTTGTTGATTTTGTTTTTTATTATTTTTTTTTATACAAACTTGTAATTTTTTGCTAATTTTGTGTTCTATTTTAGTATTTTATGAATTTTTGCGAAACAATTTACATTAAAAGTTCATTTAATTTTTTGTCAGGCCCCAAACTACTGGAAATAAAGGATAAATATGGTCGAAAACCGATGCATTATGCTTCCAAAGAAATGAAGCAAGTTCTAAGAGAATTATCTATGAATACTGATACAGATAAGTCTGCCATCTCACTAAAGACTATAGCTGACCTGGACATTCCTACTTTTCAGAACTTTAAAGAATATGCCTTTTATTGTCATGTCTTACATTTCTTGGTAACTTATTATGCTCACATTTATAACATCTACCATCTGAGGAAATTGATAAAGAGTGAAAATTCTTCTCTCATTGAAGTCCTTAAACATGAAAGTAAGAATTGTCCTCACTTCAAGATGTGTCAGGAAAATGCTGTGTGTTCTGAGGATGTAGACTGTATCAAAATTTTACCTGACTTGATCAATCATTTCGTTAAGCGAACAAATGAATGTACAAAAGGAAAACAATTAAATCTAGATTTGGAATTGTTTCCTCCGCAAGTGTTTGCTGCCGTTTTAGACTAAAGATATACTGTAGCAAGGACAGTGGCTGTCATTGTTATTAATTAATTTTTTAATTGTTAATTTATTATTTTTTTATGATTATATTCTAGTATAATAAAAAGAAGCCTGAAAGTTTTAAGGGCAGAACATACTATTGAAAATTTTTTTTAAATAAAAGAAACTTTAAATAATGTCGGAAAATGCTGTGTGTTCTGAGGATGTTCACTGTATCAAAACTTTGCCCGACATTATTAATCATTTCGTTAAGCTAACGAATGAATGTATAAAAAGAAAACAATTAAATCTAGAGTTGGAACAGTTTCCACCACAAGTGTTTGCTGCTGTTTTAGATTAGATATATTGGACAGTGGCTCTTATTGTTGTTACTTTATTTTTTAATTGTTATTAATTAATTTGTTAGTTTTTTTAAATTTTTTTTGAGATATTTATGATTACATTCAAGTATAATAAAAATAAGTCAAAGTTTAAGGGCTGAACATACTATTGGACTTTTCAAAATGAATTAAAGAGGCTGGAGAATTAAAGTTAAAGAGGGAAATGCCTCTTATCAGATATTTTATTATTTTTATATGTGTTATCAGGGTGCATAGTGCTTTTAAAAAGTGCTTATTTTTGATTTACATATTTTAAAAGCCCTTAAAAGTGCTCTTTTTATTCGGGGTTTGTAAAAAGTGCTTAATTCTCTATCTTTTGAAAAAAGATATTTTTCTTTGCAATGTCATTCAATTGTCATTCCAAATTACAAAAAAAAAACGTGATTTTCACACTTTTCTCTGCAATATTTATCTGAAACTAGTCATTTTATCAGGATTTTGTGAAAAGAGTTTTGAATTTTATTGACTTGATGGTCATAAACTAAGAGCTTTAAATGATAGAAAAATTTTTTATTGCTGCACAGATCCTAATTATGATTATAATTTTTTTTCTTTGGAAAGTGATTAAAAGTATTTTCTGAGTGCTTAAAGGCTGATTATTTTTTGTGGAAAAATCAGTCTATGTGTTCTGGTTATATTTTTTTATTCGTCAAATTTTTCTGATTATATTCTAGTATTGTTCAGATAAATGAAGTGTGAAAGTTTGGAGGTCATAATATTGTACTATATTGTACATAATATTGTACATATCAAACTGTAGTTTTTATGTAAATAAAAGAAGCTGGAAAAATGTAGCTGTGCCTCCTATTGTTTACTTTATTGCAGGGTTTGCGTGATTTAAGTCATTTTATTTTTATCAAAATTTTTTTACAGCATAATTTAAAAATGCTTTTTCGTGGTTGGGATTTTTTTAAAAGTCTGATTTGATTAATATTGTTAGGTTTTTTCTGGAATAATAACAAGTATGTAATTATTATTTGATGTAAATAATGTAATAACAAATAATAATGCAATTAATGGTAATATTAATAATTAATGTTATAATAGATGTAAATTATTATTCGATGGTCAATAGAGACGAAATGTAAAGAAAAAAGCTGTGACGTAAAATTTTTAAATATATAATTTTTTAAAAAAAAATAATTTGCTTTTTTATAAACATATTTCAATTATACCCATTTTGTTCAATGTTAATTTAAATACAAGTACTTTTAAAACTTGTTAAATGATGTAGTTGGTTCACATATAATGTTACCCCCCAAAAAACTTGTCTTAAATGTATCATAAGGTTACTATAACTTAAAGGAGCATCGCTTTTAGTTTTAACTATTTTATTTGTAATAATAGTTACATTCAAGAGATTATAAAAGCTGAGAATATTAAGAAAGGATGATAAATAAATATTATAGATAAACACTGTTAAATATTTAATAATGAAATATTTCACATGAAAAAACTATCCTGATAATTTTATTCCTTTAATTATGACAACTAAAGAAATCTGGATGTTCAATGATAATTAAGGATCTTATCTGTCATATGATTTTGTCTCTCAATGCATTGACAACAGTGAGAAACTAATTTTTTCATGTTATAAAGCAATACGATTATCAATAATTCGAGAGACAAGTCTTCAGTGAGCTTTTCTCTCTGGATATGGCACGAAATGCCAGCTCAAGAAATGTACCTTTTCAATGTTCAACCTGGTTTGCCGCTCTACAGGGAAAACCTGTAAAATACGGGGAATTTAAAAGTCTCGTAAAATGCAGGTGATTTTGTTTCTTATTTTCGTCTTTTAAAAAAGGGTTACCACTCAAAGCGTAATCTATGGGACATTTAAGGATTATATTTCAGCTATACTAAACTATTTAATTTATTACAGCATTATTTTAGTATGTTCAGCTGTTTCTTTTTTACTTTTAAGTATTCCCTCTATTAAAATTAATAAATATATAGGGTATCTGTGCACCTGGAAAGGCATGGATTTTGGTATTGAACAAAATTTGCCATGATTTGAACTATTTTTTTAAAAAAAATATTATTTTTAAAATGATATTTACCCTCCCACCCAATTACAGTGTTCCGAATATCTCACAGTGTACCGAATTTATAACAAAATGTCCACTCATAGTCATATTTTATAAAAATGTAAAATGTTTTTATATGTCTGAAACCAGTTTGCCCTTGTTTACATTCGTGTATCAATTGGTTAANTACGTTCGTGTATTAATTGGTTAAATTAGATAATATATAATATAAATTTGACGATTGGATAAATTAGACGATTTATTAAAGATAGAATATTTATTATATCGGATATTATGCTAGTATATTATTAATAATTCGACCAAATTAATAAATGCACTGTAGTGTTTTAATAATGACATGTTTTGCTCGAGTTTGTATGCAATACTTTTATATTTAAACATACATGTAATGGTTTTTTGTTCGGGAGATTTTTTATATACTTCCTATTTGTTCTTATTTTTAATGTATTGCATTACAATGTTAGCCAATTGATACACGAAAGTAAACAAGGGCAAACCGGTTTCAGTCGCGTAAAACAATAAAGCTGTGTAGTATTACCTGATAATTAAGATTTTACACAGAGTCTTTTTCAGTGTCTAAGAATTTGACCAGGGTCAGTATGATATAGATAATTACGAAATCTTCACGTTCTATGACTCAATCTTTTTAGGGGGTGATCACAAATTTGCTAATTAATTTTTTTAAAATTTCCAAAGGCGGAGAACTTGACTTAAAGGGGAAAAAAGACATGAACAAAAAAAAAGAAAGAAAAAAAGTCATTGTCTCCAATAACGCTCGACCAAGGAACTCTCAGGAAGTGCTCTGCAGTGTGAAATATGATGACCATCCATAATAACGTGATCCCCACAGAAATAACAAAGCTAATTAATTAATGCAGAAGATATTTTGAAATCCAATCATTGAATCAAAAAAATTTTCAGGGTATTTTTTTAGTACTGTTTGTACAATGTTTTGTTAAATGCATTGATCAGTCCTCAAATTTATGACTAAGTCCATTATCCATTACCACCTTTATTCAAATGATTAAATCATTCCTTTTCAATCCTCAATGCACAATTTCTAAATTCCAGTTATATACAGTGCATAAACTTCAAGTAGAACTCTCTACCTATGGCAACACTGCGCATGCTTTCACCATTAGCGTGTGGAGAGTCATAGGAGAAGGAAGTATGCTAGTTTCTGCATCGATTTTCCTATAAATTTAAAAACTTTTAAGTTCGGGAACTGAAAACTACATTGAACAAAGTTACAAGAAAAAACGTCGTGGAAATTTTAAGAAAATATTTGTGACAATTAAATACGAAAAATATTAAGAAAGGGGAAAATATCGTAGTAAATTCCTATACAACCGAGGGGAGGTTCAAGACATGGAACCGGTCTTCTTCCCATATGGCTTATTCGAGCGTTGTGATAGCGAATAAAAGACGCAGACAAGCATTCATTTTCATATATAGATTCATGGAGTCCATGAATCTTAATAAGAAAATCTATATATGAAAAAGAAAATGGTTGTCAAAAAGCTTCTTTCGATATCAATTATAAAGCACTCACGTTTATTATTTTTATTATATATATATTTTAACGCATGATAGTATTTTACTAGCATATACTTTTGAGCCGTGTTGGCTCAGAGGATAGAGCACTCGCCTCCCAATGAGCTGAACCGGGTTCGAATCCCGGCGAAGGCTGGTTTATTCAAATTCTGCACCGACCACAGTACTGACGTAAAATATCCTCACTGGTAGACGGATTATGGGTTAGAGTCCCCATGACGTCGCGCTAACCGTGGAAGGTAATCGTGGTTTTCCGTTCTATGTAACGCAAATGCGGGTTAGTTAAATCAAAAAGTTCTCCACGAGGGCAAATTTCTCCCAGTACTCAATCCAGGTGTTCCCTTGTCTTCTGGATTGGGTTCAAAATTACAAGGCTACCGAGTTGAACATTGGTAGTCGTAAACCCTAAATTGTGTCGGCTGTTCAACGATGGTTATAAAATAAAATAAAAGCGCATACTTTGAATAATCTTTCGATTAACTGCTAAAAGCAAGTTGTACCTTATTAAAATGCTTTAAAATAGTTGTAAAATGCCTTAATATAGACTTACCTCTAAAAAAATCGACAGCTGTGTCTTGTTTGATAATCGGTTGATAATGTGTAGTTTTTTCTTAAAGAATCTAATTCGTGGTTTATGAAAGGTCCTTTTTCTGGTGTAATTGAAAGAGGAATACTGTAATTAGTTTCATTCCAATGTAACAGTTCTGTAACACAAGAAAAGTTTAGTGAATGTTTTTAAAATACTTAAGTGTCTGCCTTGGAAGCCGATTAAAATTTTTATTCGTTCGACAATTAAAATCCTAATTGAATATGCTTCATACTTCACAAAATAAAAACACAGAATTTTAAAACATATGGTGAATGAAAATCTGTAACATTGAATTTCGAATTTAAAAAATGAAGAAGAAAAGAAAAAGATTCTAGAAAAGCACTTTAGGGTAATCATAATCTTTTCTAATAATGATTTTATCTCTAATCTTAACTATCATTTAATCATAACTCAGGTCATTTTACTATCGTTTTAAGTACAATCCCAGAAAGCATGAAACCGCCAACGTTGTGTCGGAATTTTTTTTTTTTTTACTGACACGAAAATGTTTGTACTAAAAACCTTTTTTCAATTGAGCAAAAATATTGGAGTTTCAAACTTTTCATTCTAAAAGGATTAAAAATTATTTCTTAAAAAACATTGTCCCTTAGGTAAAATGGTCACTTAGGTCCATCATGACATTTCAGCTGACATCACACTAGCGATAGGATCAAATTGCATCATCCATTAAAATTTCATGACAAGGTGGATTTTAGCTGAGGATACAAGACTTTGCGAAAAGAAACTTTATAATTACCTAGTTTTAAGATTATTTTCACCTTGAGACTAGCTTTGTTAAAGGATTTTTCGCTCTTAAAAACCCTAAGCCAATCTCACTTTGCGGTTTTTATATAGAAGGTTGTTTTCCAAGGTTACGGTAATGTGCATAGAATAAATAGAGCAAATTGTCTCAGATCTCGTTTTAAGGTTAGAAGATTTACACGTAAACCGCATTACAAACCTTCTTAGGTTCACATTAAAAGGTTTTTGCTTTGTGGAAATAAACATTTTGCTACCTGGGTAAACTGTGACTATTATAATTGAGAAAATCAATTAAAACCTTCATTGCTTACCTCTGTCGCTTGTTTCAAGGGGAACATAGCCATTGAAATCCCAGCATGGCTTTGTTTGCTGCTTGCCGATTTGGCTATATTCAATGTTCTGATGCTTTCTGTCCGCTATTATCTTCTTAGAAGTGTTATTGATCAAGCTTGACTTCGAATGTTTTATTTCCCTCTCAAAGCACCTTTTTGAGTCGATCATAAAACAGGATGTTGCAGATTTGAAGCTGTTGAAACCATACTTTTCTTTGCCAGAAAATGTAATGAAAAATATGCGCATTAGGCGTTACGAAATTTTGTCACAGTATATTAATATTGTTTAAAAATATTATGCCCGATTTAAATACATAAACGTTATCGAAATCTAATCGGTCAAGCGGGTCTAAAAATATCAAAACCACCTTCATTGCCTGACATAATTTGGTAGTGGCTTTTCTTGTAATAATAGTTTTTTAAGTCCTTTTTGTTTTCTCCGTCAATGAAGCAGGATTTGAGGTTTTCATATCCTCCGCCCTCAATTAGTGATTCGACAAAATCTGAAGAATATTGAAAATGGAATGAATATATATATATATATATATATACACAAGGGGTGATCAAATGAAAAGGTACGAAACGAC